CCTGATCTGACTTCCAGGGTTGTTTGGTAAACATGGTGAATGGTTTTCAATGCGACGGCAACCTGGTAAGCGAGAAGCAACGAGACAGGGGAAGCGTTCTCAACGAAAGGGGAAAATGATAAAATGGGCGAATTATGTGGATATGGATGACAGGGGGAGGTTTCCCCGAGGACCTTGAAGAGAGGCGGCGGGTAGCGCAGGCCTGGAAAATGGAAACTGGGGAACGCATTGGCTGCATTGTCGCTCATGATTTCAATTTGAGGGCATATGCCGCGCGGAAAGCGATTTCAGGGCCTGGGAAGTCGAAGGCCTCGCAGCATGAGCCTTCGTGGACCACGATGGGATGTTGCATGCATTTGCACACATTTGCATAAAATGAAGAAGGACGGCATAACACGGCCGTTGAAGATCGATAGACGGGTGTTTGGGTTGAGGTCCGATGAGGAGGACAGGTAAATGCCGCCATGGAGAGAGGCCGAGGAACAGACGGGGACGGCCCCTCGGCCACTCGGCCGGATAGCCGAAAAGGCCCAATCAGGAGCCGAGCGTGCATCTCAACGAATGGGTTCAAGAGGTCCGGCGGTGCGAATGAATCAGGATGGAATCCTCAATGCGCCGGGACAGAATGCACACATCCTGACTTGCTGCCGTGGGCGGAGGGAAAATAGGTGTTAGCGGCCCCTCTCCTTATCCAGGCTACCAGGTCAGAGGCGAGCGAGAGAGAGAGAGAGAGAAAGAGAGAGAGGGAGCCAGCATGGTCCTCTTCTTGTGACCAGGAAGAGAGCATTGATTCTGCTTGATAGGACCGGGGTGTAAGTGAAGGCGTGGGTGGGCGGCAGGTGAGCCTAGCGGCTTGCAGGGCAGGCCAGAAGCGGGAGAAGGCAGTGAAAGAGGGGTCCTTTCAAGACGTTTCTTCATCTCCTCGGGTTGGGTTTGAGGGATAGACAGACGCCAGTGATGAAAGGTAGAGAAGAAACAACCAGCCTCTTTGCGGATTCAAGGATGGAAAAGCGTAGCTGGGCAGGGCAGAGCGAGATTGAGAACGGCAAGAACTTCAGTCTTTCGTCACAGGCGGTGGCTTGGAGGCGGTGGTGTCTCTTGCTGCGACAAGTCGACTTGACATGGGCGTATGCGGGAGATGGACCAAGACTTGCGTACGTGGTGCGCCGTGGCTTTGTTGAAAGCTTCTTGAGGGGCACCTTGGCAGCTAGCCAGCGACGACAGCGACTAGTGTACAGACACGACGAGGGACAAGACGGCGCCGGCAGTGGCTGGGTAAAGTCTGCTCGGAATGCTATCCCGACTGTAGACTCGACCCCTTCGGACTCTCTGGATTGCGCTGCGTCGAAGCTGCGTCGGCGCCTAGTGTCAGCAATGCCTCATTTGGATGACTTGAGCTGCGTAAAGATGGTTGACTGGCTAGAGCGAGCTAGGTGGGGGCATGAGTGAGAGGTGAGGGGAACGACGTCGAATGCATACGACAGAGTGACGGCTAGGTATTCATGTAAAGAAGGTGGATGATAACAAAATACGGGGAGGAATTGTGCGGTGCGGTGGTGAGGCACCGAGTAAGGGTGATGAATGAAGGAGAGGCACAGCTGCGCAATACATAGATGAATCTCCGCTGGCTGGATAATGGAACGCCCAAGGATGTTTGCTGCAGGATGAATTGAGTGGGCACGTACTATGTACTATTTCTTGGATATGCACAATGGCACTAACTATGAACGGTTCAGGTGGACCCGCCACCCGCTCGACACCACCTGCACGGAGCAAAATGAACGAATCAGAGTGGGTGAAGAGATGCATGGAGATATCCGCTAGTGGCTTTCATAAAAAGTGAAGCCAGTCCCAAAAACGGCAACGCAGATGGAACGATGCCCCAGTTTTGCTCATTGATGGGAAGGAGGCCAGGACCAGGACCGGCACCAGGACAGGGGAGAAGAGGGTTCCTGTAGCGCGAACCAACCCACCGCAACCGCTACTGCAACCTTCTTCCCAAGTGCGTGCGGTGCGGTGCAAGGGAAGGAGGGAAGGAGGAATGCAGAAGGTTCCTGCTCGTACTCTTTGCCTGTGATTGATTTCTCTTCGTCCACTTTGAGCAGGAGCAGCAAGACACGACACGAATAGGCAAGAAGAGGGTGGAAGTCTCGTTCTGGCTTCTGGTGTCGATGCTCATGGCGATGCCGAAGACCGACATCGACCGCGTGGTCGTCGTCCGGCTTGTCCTCTTCCAGCTGGCGATGGACCGACTTGGGCACTGATCTAACCTCGCATTGGCGCTGGAGTCATCGCCAACCAACTCTATGCGCCGAGGGCTTCGATTCACCGTTTGCTTCCAGGTCTGCTCTCAACAAGCCTGTCACCCTAACACCTGGTAACCACCACCTAGACGACCCGAGGGACGTATCTCCCCCGCGGGCACATCTCTGGGAGTAACCTCTTTCGGGCCTAGCGACGGCGCATGGCGGGGAGCCTGGCCTGACAATGTTCCAACGCTGTCTCTGAAGTCTGGTGGCCGGCTGGCTGCCTTTGGACACGGACATGTGCCATGGGCGCGCTGGTCAGACCTGTCAACCGCTGGCTCCCTTCTTTTCGTCCCGTCTACGGCCTACGGGTCTACTGCACTGCTAGTCGACGGGTCTGCGAGATGCGGCTGGTCTCGTGAGCCTCTTGTTCCTGTGGGCGGTCTGGACTGGGCCCTCGCGCCGCTGAAGTAACGCGTGGAAGGTTGCAACAATGAAGCCGCCCGCGAACGATGAACCCATCCACGAATCGACGAACCACCGGTGACCCCAGTCCAGCTGGCTTCGAAAATCATTGCAGGCCCCCCCCCTCGTGGGCTGTGGCCCCATATGGGAAAGGGGGATGCGCCTCCACCCACTGGCGGCGGTGGCCACTCACTGACAGAGGAGAGTTGCGAAAGCGGTACGTACCCGATCCGATTTACGGGCTTTGCAGTATCGGTGTACAGATTATTAGGTAAATCAACCGTACCTTGGACGAAGAAGATGAGGAAGAAGCGAAACACTGGATGGGAAGAAGAGCAGCAACCCACGCAGCCAGAAAGCATCGCATCGACGTTGTGCATCAATGCGTGGCTTCTCGACGTCTTCGCCGCCGCCGTCCCCTAAACCCCAAGTGTCCCAAGCTCCAGCCCTGGGCCCTGCACTGGAAACAAAAGATCTGAACTTCGCATCAACAGTCGGCTTGTCTGTTTCTGCTGCCACTCGATGCTGATGGTGGTGTCGGTGGTGTTGGGGTTGGCGTCGCAGCTAGACTGAGAATGACAGCCCTCGTTTGGATGGTGGGCCTTGGTCCCGGCCATTCTACCTAGCCCGCCATACACAGATACTATGTATGTACATACGTACATACATCCCTTGTACAAGCATACACCACATGGAGGCATGGTAAAGAAAGAGGGAGGAGCGAAAGAGGGAGAGGGCGAGAGCAAGAAAGAGAAGCACACAGACCACGCACTCACACACAAAGAAAGCCAGCGGCAGAAGAGCGACGAAGAAAAAGCGAGGGAAAATACGTGCACAGAAAAGAGAGGAAAAGCTGGGCCCACGCCCCTGGCCTACTACCTACGCAGTGCCCTGTAGTGTACAGTCTCCACGAGATCCCCTACGCGGCACAATCTTGGCTCCATTGAACTCTTCCCACTCCCATTGACACCCCATGGACTCACCCCAGTCTATCCCAGTCTGTCCCTCGCACCCCCAGCGCTCTCCCCGGGCTGGGTCATAGGTAGACAGGCCTCTCTACTCTCTGGCGGCGCTCTGCCAAGTGTTGGAGCTAGTGTACGTGCCGACGATTGCAGGAAGAAAGCAAAGGTACGTACCGATACGTACCTGGTGTTCCCTGCGCGATGCACATCCACAATCTTGCCCATCCCATGTCTGTCACTCATCAAATCGCCCTCACACACACCACACACACAACTGCTGCTACTCGCTCTCTCTCTCTTTCTATCCCGTACCCTGCGTGTCTCCCATCTGTCTCTGCTGAACAGCCCAAACCCACACACAATTGCCATGCCTTGCCTAATAAAACCATCGTGACACCCCCGTGCACGTTAGCTCTCTCTCCTCCCAGTCTACTCTTTCCCGGCCGTGTCGTCTCTTTTGAGGGTTCAACTCTGCAACACGTCTGCCAGGTAAAAGGTCGTCCCAAATGCGCTGTTAAACGGGTCTTACGGTTTTCTGGTTTCAACGTCGTTCAATTCGCCATCCTCGTCCCGTCTTCGCTCCTTCTCTCTCGCGTCTTTCTCTCAAACATTCTCCTCCACTACCATCACAAGTTGGGACGAGCTTCCGACAGCTAGCTATTCGTGCTTCCTCGGACCCTTCTTCTACACCTCACTCCCCTCCTCCCTCTCCTCGCTTTTTCGACCTGTCTCTCGCAATCTCAACCCATCTCTCCCTTCCCTCGCCCCGTGTCTCGCTTCCTACGACTTGCCAATCGCCATTCCACACCCGGCTTCAAATCACCAGACCCTACCACAGGGTTCGAATTCACAACCGCCTGTCGGTGGAAAGACAATTCGGCTAGGAACTCGTACGGCCCGTTCACCTGCTTCGTCACCTCACCTGCTGGCCCGGAATCTGTCGAGTGGGTTGATATCAGGCCATTGCACGACTGCAAAACTACTTGACTGTCGGCCGTTGCTGTCATTCTCCATTCCTTCCACGCCAGGCTGCCTCGTGGAGACCTGCCTCTGATGTACGTCACACCAATTCTCCCTCCCGATTGAGTCTTGTTGATCTCAATTCCTACCCTGCCTCACCTCCTTCCCCAGCCTCTGCGGCTGATTCATCCCCCAACCTTGCCATGCCGTGACTAACGCGCCTCTTTCTCTCTAGTCTTGGGCAACTGCTTTTGCACCTTTTCTTGGGACTGACATCTCGAGCGCTTGGGTTCTTTTGATTCCTCTATACAACATTGCGACCACATATCGTTAGCCAGTCTTGCCGACTACCCCCCACCACGTAACCATGGCCGTCCCACAGGAAAAGGTGACCGCCCACCAGCAGGTCACCAGCATCGCCCTCCCAGAGAAGGCGGCGTACGCACCATTGTCCGATGGCACCACGCCTGGCAACCTGACTCCCGAGAAGAGCTTGGAGATGCCCCGCGACAGCAACCTCTCCACCCCGCGGTCGTACCGCAACGAGAACCCCTTTGACACGGACATCGAGGCCATGATTACTACGACATCCTCCTCCGACCCATACGCCATGAAGAGCATCACAACTACAAAGGACTGCCCAACGATATGGCCTGGCAAGCAGGATTGGAAGGCCAAGGCGAAGGCTGCGAAGCGTGACCGTGGCTCCTGCGCTTGCATGGCCCGCATGAGCAAGAAGAACCGTATCATCATGAAGGTCGCAATCGGCCTCCTCATCATCGGCGTCGGTGTGGGCGTGGGATTCGGCGTCAGCAAGCCTTTGGGTGCACCCATCTGGGGCGATTCCGACAAGAACCACTGAAGAAAACACATCTTCTCGCAACAAAACTTCCACAGGGAACTACCAAAGATCTATCGGGCTACCCTGCCGATAGGATATCCCGAACATGCTCGCATACACCTTCACCCAACATCACCACCACTTGCGATGCCGTACATTCGAGTCGCTTTCCCTTCAACTTGTATCATATACAACGACTTCGTATTACGCCTACCCGAAGGCCACACCGGGTGGGTTTCAACTTATCTTCTTTCTAGTCGGTCCGCGTCACCAACCATAGGGAAATGTGCCACCATAATTACGACCAGGCGTTTTTGGAGTCTGCATGGGCAATCACAAGCGAGCGAGCAGCGGCACTTTTTCAATTCAGTATCCTACATGAAGGAACTTCTGTGGGCCGTAACACGCCCGCGGGTATCGAGGCTACGAGGCACGAAATACCGGTTCAGCGTCAGCGTCTGCGTCTACAGAGAGCAGGGGTTTTGTCATTCTTCATTAGGGAGAACAGCACCAGCACTTTCTATACAAGGGTATTGGGGCACGCTTACAGCGTTGGGGGAAGAAGGCATGCGGCTCCGTCATCACTTGCGACTTGCGAGGAAAATGGATTATTGGGAAGGATACTACTGTCCGGCTTCTGTTAGACGGCCACATGATGCATTTGGGTATCTGGCAAGAGCAATCAAAGAGATAGGGAACCCGCAGTCGAGAAGTGCTCTGGCTGACGGCTCATCCCTCATCATTTCTGGTTACACTTTGTCCCTGCTCGATTTGGTTCTCGATTGAGTCTCCCGTTAACGTCTGGGCAAGGGCCACCCCTTCCTGATATGTTTTGGCTAAAGTGATGAGCATGAAACGATGCACGTTTGCCATGGTAGACCCTTTTTTCCCCCACGAGAGACGATGAGCTGACATGGCCACCATTGGGACACTCATTCATGCTGGGGCCATTGTGAAAGCACAGATACCCGCCGGGTCCCGATCTATTCCAACAGAGTTCAAAAGTATCCTCCGCGCCCCTCCACGCACAAACAAAGTTCGGGTAACCCATGTCATCCAAGATCCAAGGGAGAACTGTAATGAAGCCACAAACACACACACGTTAGAAGATGTGCTCTTTTTTAAGGTCAGGACGATGGGAATGTAAATCACCTGTCTCAGCCAAAGGGGGTGGGTGGTATCAACCCTGATGGGAGAATCGAGCGATGAACTTCCGTCTATGGCATAGCGTGCCAGCGGTCCGGACGGGCTGCACGACGGGAGGAGGGATGGTGCTCTCGTCAAGAGACTTCTTGCGAAGCGAGCAAAGCCCGCCTCGCGGGCAGCCCTGCCCGTCTTCGCCCTTCACACGCTACCCAAATCTTGCCTCGCCTCGCGCACCTCCCACACGCCCCCCCCCTCCCCCCCGGGATAGGTTCTTGGCGGTTACGGGGCCTCGGGTCTATCCCACCTGGCCACAGCCGGAGCAGACACGGGGCCACTCGTTGGGCGAGGATGTGCGATGGTGCTGACGCCGGACCTCCGTCGCCGCCGCGGCGAGTGGCTGGGATGCCCCGGAGGAGGGGCCGCCGGTCCTCGGGCGCCGAGGGGAGGAAGTGGAGGAGGAGGAGGAGAAGGAGAAGGAGGTGGTGGTATAGGGTGATGATTCAGCACGACCTCTGGGTTTGGCTTTGGCTTTGGCTTTGGCTCCAGCCTTGGTCTTGGATGCGGACTTGGCGGCCGTAGAGGTACCAGAAGCACCAGCGGTCGTGGCTACTTCGCCTGAGCCACCAACCCGGTCTTGCCCGTTGTCGCTGTTCTAGGGCTCGGCGGGCTGCTTGCCGGCTCGGGTGCTGGGGTCGGCGTAGTAGGAGTGCTGCGGCTCGGCGGGCTGGCCGTCAGCCTCGTCCTCGTCGGAGTGGAAGTCGAAGCGGTTGCGGCGGCGGTCGGTTTGGCGGTCGGCGGTCGGCTGAACCTCGTTCTGTGTCTGCGCCCCGCCCGCGGTGGCGGAGACGGGGGACACGGGCAAGGGGAACTTGCCGTAGTAGGAGGGGATGTGGGTGGTCCAGGGGTTCGGGCTCGGGGTGTTGGTGTTACTGCCGTTGCGGTTGTTGTTCTCGAGGCCAATGTCTGGGGAGGCGCGGCCCGTCGTCGCGGCGGTGGAGTCGTTATCGTCCGCGTCTGTGCCGGCGGCGATGGTGAGGTCCTCGGTGGACTCCTCTGGGCCCGCGTTGCGGCGGGATCCGGTTCGACCGTAGATCTGGTTGCCGTAATGTTTAGCGGCTGCTGCTTGTCTTTCACGTTTGGGCATCAGAGGGGTTGGATAGGACGGGTATGCCGCGATGTCCCACCATGAGTGGCGGCGTCCCCATGAGGGAGGATTGTTGTAGAGGGTTACAGGGAGCAAGGGCGTCTCGTCTGAAGGGCGCCACGCGTGTTGGCGCTCCGCCTCGTGGAGGCTGCGAGTGGGAGGTATTTTGGGTGCACCATCGGCGGCGATGGAGAGGGGGGCATCAGTGGATCTACTCACCTCGTTGGGCACCTCGCCCGGATCAAGCTCGCGCCAGGGGAACCAGTACTTCTGGTAGGGCTGCATCTCGATGTCCTGCTCGGCGTCGCGGCGGCGGCGGTCGCGGTAGTTGGTGTACAGACCAAAGGCGAGGAAGATGAAGGGGACGCAAAGGAGGGTGACGTAGGACCAGGTGAGGTCACCGTAGACAGGTTCTCGGTGCGTGGGCTCCTCAAGGGCTGAGGAAGCAGTGGCCGAGGGGGTCGGGTTGATGTAGATCGTGGTGTGTGAGACTGCTCTTAGGCCCAAGCCGACGATATTTGTCATCGAGGAGAGACGGCTGGCTGTGATGAGGCTCGATCCGGCTGGGGAGATTGTGGTGTGGGTGAGGATCGTGGGGTTTGGGGTCTGGGTTGAGGAGGGGAGGATAGGTCGGTGGGTGAATCTCAGGGCGGCAGCCATCTTGCTGAGTGAAAGGCCGTCGCCGGTGATGAGATGTGATGGATATCGCGTGAGCGGGACAAGGTAAGGTGAGTTTTAAGTTATCGAGTCGCTGTCGGCGTAGTATCGTGAGTGAGGTGAGTCGTAGTATCTGACTCGCCGGTCGTTGATCGCAAGACAATATTCAGGCAACTAAATGATAACATTCAGTCTACCGCAGTATTATTCTCACTTGAGAGCCTGCGAGAGTGAGATCTTAGTTTGTTGAATAGTTCGGGCGAGTCGAGGCGAGGTGTCGTTCACTTACAGATGGGGCCGAGAGTGAGTTGTTGCTTGTTTGTGAGGCGAAAGGAGGAAGAACGCGATCCTTCCCTTGAGAAAGTAGGGCTTTTGCGACGCAATACCAATCTCTGCTTTCGGCTCTCTAGTGAGAAGTGATGTGAAACACGTCAGTGTTCGCGCCCTGTTGAGGAAGGAGCGAGTATGAGAGGTGAAGTAAACAAAGGCTTTATGTGTGTATTGAATGATCAAGAAAGGAAGGCGCGTGGATATCGGCCTTGCTCGGTCGAGAGCAAGGGAACGGTGGGGAGCTAACAACTGCTGTGTGACAAGAGTGGGATGAGAAAAAAGAAATAAAAGATGGCCAGGTGAATAAGGCAAGTAGTGGCCAGGACGGGTTCCTGCGTCGCGCCTGCTGTGTAAGGACGGCAGCCCGTTGCAGAATGCCCGGAGAACAAGTTGGTTGTGTGAAGAATCTCGGCCTCAGTGGAAGCGGATGGAAAGACTAGACTTGGGGATGACATTTTCCTTTGTGAACGCTGCCTCGTGCTCTGGTGCTTGTTTGGGAACGAGGGCCGCTTTGTTTGCAAGCAGGTATATATGAGTGTGAAAACACAATGACTGGGAGGAGGCAGGGAAGCAGATCATCAACTGAGCGAAAACACTGGGATTATACACACGAAGGGCACCGAGAGGAAGTCGACACTGATATCCAAATTTCATCAACGCCGTCATTGGACCTCGAAGCACTTGTACCCCTGACAGCGTGAATCTGGGGACAGCTGTCGATGTGTCCTGTATTGACCTTACCAAGATCCGAAAGAAACATTACCCTCAGCAGGACAGTCACCGAAACCCAGGCTTCGAGCACAACAACACAGAGCATCGAGTGGAAAGCTGCAGAGAGCAGAGAGAAACCTGCTTTCAAGATCAAGACCGCGAGCAGCAACGGCACCAGACAGACCAGGGAATCATGGAACCTCGAGTGGTCGTTGCCGTTGTCTCCGTTGTCGTCATCTTTGCTGCTTGTGGGATTGGAGGGGCGCTTCAAGTTAGGAAGGAGAATCGGAGGCTTGCTGAAGAGGATAAGAAGATGATGGACATGATTCCCTAGGCGGGGCGAATTTCTATCGGAGTGTGGGAGGCAGTTGGATGTGATGGATGTAATATCCATGTAGTTCAGTATGGATGTTCCTTTGGTGTATATTCGGAAGTGATGTTACATTGTAGCCAATGATCTACAAAGACGTGATATGTCTTCAAGATGATCATGTGCGATTTGGACACCCATTGAGTGATTATAAGAAGCCTTGGTTGACGCCGTTTCATGTGCTCAACAACCTTGGTGCTTAGCGGCCATGGTGTAACTACTTGAACTGTCTATGAGATGCTCGACAAAAGAACAGAGTGAAGTGTGGTGATGGAAAAGGGCAGTTAGTCATTAGTTGCGTCGGCCTTGGCTACATTACTCTGATTCAGTGTGATATTACTAGCTTAATTTTGCGTGTATAACGAAAATGACTATCTTGTTTTATACGAGCAGAAGCATCTTGAAAAATTTCATGATCTGCAGGTCTAGCGCCATCCGATTACAATATATCGTTGCAAAGACCAACCGCGGTATTTAGAAGGCCGCAAAAGCAAAGCTGCAAAAGCAATGTCGCGAAAACGTCCGAGATTACAAAAGAAGTGGCCGTCATCATTATGTTACTTTCACGTATCCATTCTTGTAATTACGACGGCGGAAAGGGACTCGGCCGGACGATGACGGGGGCTGGCGTTCTATAAAGCTCATCAATTGGTGTCACCTTCACAATGACGAACCACCAATGAACTACTGCAGCTCATTACTCAGTAGAAGATATACCACAACGTGCCCATTTATAGCCACCAAGGCCTGTCTATTGGTGTCAAGTACTGAGATCGAGTGTGGTAATCTAATATTTTTTTATGCACCTCCTTAGCCTCGATGTAAATGCTTCCGTGCCAAACAACCATGAGCCGGATTTCGCCAGAAGAGCCGAGCAAGTGGATTGGGCTATGTTCTCGTGCAAAACAGCCTATTAACCGTGATCGGAACAAGGGGAAAAGGGGCATTAGCTGCTGTATTGGAAAGGGACCGAAGGTAGCCACGCCAGCTATTCGCACCCCTCGGTCAGACCTTGTATACGGGATGCTGGCACAGCTCGTAATATTACAGAAACCAATAATAACATTACAGACGGGATCAAGAAGAGTCCAATGCCCAAGTTCATCTCAATACGAGGCTGAGCATATGCAAAAAGACACATGTGTCGGTGTCTGCCTTGCAGGAGAATTTGGAAATTCGACTTTGAGGCACTCGCTAGGGTCTGGAGTGCCTGGGAACCCCTGATGACCTAGGGATCTTGAGAAGGCAGTGGGCCCTGGCGTTTAGACGGTATCTTGTTGCTTTCCTCGCAGCCGACAGCCATTGGAAACGACAATCCTGGCGAAGGTAAACTTTCTGGGATTACCCGGGCAGGATTGTGAGGGACACGCGGTTGCTGAAGTGTATTCTGGATGTCTTCATCTGGGCGTCGGTGGGAACGGTTACACGGCGTCCCTGGATATCATGGCCACATGACCAGACCGTTGGGCAAAGGAGGATCCAGAAACAAAGTACATTTGTGGATGTGCGAGGAGGTACGCTGGATTAGCGCATCTCCTAACGACGCTGCATCGGTCCGACCATAGTCACACGACTCTTGCATTCTTCCCTATCTTCATTAACTACCCAGCTCAAAGAATGTCGTTCATGCAAGTTAAACACCAGCTTCAGCTACACTGCTTGGAAGCTTGGCCTGCGCCTGTTGCTGTTGGGTGACATGAGCCGGCCACTACTGCCGTGGATGCCAAACAGTTTGCCTGGTTTGGCACAATGGACGACAGTGAGAAGCCACAAAAGCAGGAGCGAGGAAGCACAAGATTGTTCTGCGCCTTCCGAAGCTGGCTCTTACCCAACGAGAGGCACGGTCCGCGGCTTGCTTCCTTCCACCAAGCACAACCAAGGCTTCTGTCAATTTCCATAATAATCTTCGCTGGTCAGTGGCTTCCTTCCCTCCTGGCGAACCTGAAGTATCTTTCGAGTGATCTGTCGCCTCTTCTCCCCTCCTCCTCTCCCATAAAAACCCCCTCCATGTCCTCCGACCTCTCTCGTCTTCCATTCTCCATCTCCCAACAACATCCACATTCCACCCTCTCTTTTTTGGAACCACCACAGATTCTCACTGCATCTTTTACCGGTAACAATTCCTAACCAAAGGTCTACACCAACAAGAAAGCTCAAAACCCACCAAGATGGTTTACCCTTCTCTGTCTCTTGCCACTCTTTCGCTGGCAGCCCTCACCGCCGCTAGTCCCATCGTTACCCAGTCTCGGCAGCCCAGCCACAACAGCGCCCAGTCCGCTCTTCACAAGCTCCCGTACTCCAAGATACGGAAGTACCTCGGGGCAACCGATGGGGAACCCATCGCCCCCAAGATGATCCCAGGCGTTGGCAACAAATGGCAATGCTTCGACGTAAGTTTGATCTCGCCCTTCCCTTGCCCGCTTGCCACGTCCTTCCATCACCACGTGTTGCAACTTTGGAATGCAAACAAGTCGTTTTTGGCTCTTCAAGCTGCTGGCCAATCCCAGCTTTTGCCTCGATGAAACAGGACTGACAGATGTTTAGCCCATTGGCACAAACCCTAGCGCGAATCCACTTGATTGTCAAAGGGCCTTAGCCGAATGGAACGGCATGGGAACTTTCAAGTTGGAGAAGACGGGAGGCTGCCGCATCAAACATCACCAGTCATGTTTTACGTCTGTCTGCGCTTTGAAAGATGTTGTCGAGGCTGACGGTTCGCTGGTCGCTGCCCGCATGATGAACCCAGTGCAAACGACGTGTGTCGTCAATGGCAAGAACGGAATATGGACAAACGACGAAGATACTCTCAGTATCGTTGTTGGAGGTTCTCATGGAAGCGGATACTAGGGTCTTCAGCAACACCAGCCACGACAGACCGATGAGGACCCAGACGACGAGAACAATGGCGGCGACGATACTGACGACGAGGATCCCGATGATGATGAGTCTGATGACGGGGACTCTGGAGACGAGAACACTGACGATGATCAGTCTGACGATGGATCTGACGACGGAACTGAAAATGGATCTGACAATGATGATTCCGATGATGAGAACGTTGACGAGGATCCCAATGACGAGAACACTGACGATGAAGACCCCAACGGTGAGGATGCTGGTGACGAGACTCCAGATGACGACGACGTCAACGATGAGGACCCCACGGACGATAACGTTAATGGCGATGACAATGGTGACGACAGCCCAGACGAAGACGCTTCTGATGATGAGAATGTTGACGGCGCGGATCCCGGTGACGAGGACGATGGCGAGAACTCGGGCCCTGATGAGGAGGAGGAACCTGATAACGGGTATGCAGGCTATTGCTTCTGAGAAGAGCTGCACTGGTGACCACTTCAACGCATGGCTACTCGCTCAGGAGAGGACCCAACTACCTGATGACCCTTAATACAGCATACCACTAGAATTAATTCACTGTTGTTACAAAGAGTAGCCACTCTGGAATCAAACTTGCGTTCCCACAAGTAATCGTCCTTTTGGAATGCTACATTATTCGCACATGCCATCGCGCTGCATGACCCAAAATCTTCATTTCCAATTTGGTAGTTGCCATTTCCTATGAAACTCACCATTGGAGATCGTTTCAAACAAATCGGGTTGACGATCGAATCGTCGGCGAAAGGGACGTGCACGCTGCGCCATGTGACCCCTGCTCATGAGCCTACTTAGTAGTAGGGATTGAAGGTTGGAGCTGGGACCCAGAGGTCCTTCGTCAACATCAACACCAACACCACAAATCGACCCTACATCCCAAGAATATCAAGATCACAGGATTGCTCCTTGCCACGATAACCTCGTGAGAAGGAAGACACATCTATAGTCTCAAATACGCAACCATGGGATTAGTACGTTTTCATCTGCCCCAGACATTCGATCTGCCCGCACCAAACTTTTCTGACAACTAACACCGTTACTCCGTCCCACAGAACAAGGACGCAAGCCACACATACGTGCACATGCACCGCGCTCGAGACGCCGACCTGTTTGAGGACTTTTGCAAGGAGAGGCTTCCGGACGATGAGGTGTACGTACCACCACAGCACCAGCCGATCAACCCGGAGGACGAGGACGACGTGGTGCCGGACCAGCACGCGGCCTTTGGCATCACCAAGGCGACGCAGAGGCAACGCGAGGCTGCGTGGAAGGATCTCGGGCTCGCGGGCTTGATGAACCGCGGACCGCCACCGCCGGGCGGGTGGGCGCAGGATAAAGGAGCGGGCGGTGCCGGTGCTGCTGGTTCGAAGAGGTTGCCTCGGTAGAGGGGATGATGACTTACGGTGCGGTTGGGGAATGGTTATTGGCGTTATGAGATACCCGGGTATTGATTTGAGGAACGATACAATGCAGCTCTGGGACATACATGGTGTGATGGTCTGGGAAACGCGCAAACTGCACCAATACGCATATCGATATCGAGGACAACGCTGCTGTGGTTTTTTCCGGCTTTGCGGCCACATTGAATTCTGTAAATGCCCACTCAAAATGACACGCGAGCCACACCCAAAAGGGCATCATGAAGTCCGAGTCTTGCAATCGCCAGAACGCCGCCCATGCTCCCCGTTTAAACGCCATTAATCACTCATCCCGTCATACTTGGCCCAACCTCACTCAGCTCTTTCCCAAATACCCCTCCCTCTCCACCACCTCCGACCGGAACTTGACCAGAAACACCGTCTTGCCAGGCCACATCTCGTGCTCGTCCTTGGCGGCGATGTTATGCGCGCTCACCCTCGCAGGGAAACCCGCGCCGTCGCAGATGCCCTCGACGATGCCGGCGACGTAGGCGGCGCAGTTGAGCTGGGACATCTCGCGGGGCACGCTGATGTAGGCGTTGACGAGGGGCTCGTTGTCAATGATCATGTACTCGTCGGGCTTGGCCGGGTCGGCCGACTTCTCGAGGCGGTCGGCCTGGCGGCCAAAGAGGTGCTGCCAGCAGGACTGCTTGATGAAGTGGAGGAGGGTGATGATGGTCAGGGGGCGGACCTGGGTTCGGGGGGGTTCGCGGAAGAGGAGGAGGTCGAGGAGTTTGATGCCGATCGAGTGGCCTTGTACGTTTAGTCTGCAGTGGCGCGGCGAGTTAGCTGGATGGATCATGGAGGGCCAGAGTGCGAGGTCATGAAGGGACGGGGGGAGGACGACGTACCGCTGCTCCAGCTCGGAAATGTCCTTGACGTTGCGCTGGGCGTACGAGACCATCTCGCTGAAGAGGTAGGCGAAGCTGGCCTGGCTGAGCTCGGCCGTCTTGGTGCGGTTCAGGGGCCGGTGGTAGATTGTCTTGCCGTTGGAGGGGTAGCGCAGCCCGGGCGTCTCCTTGCCGGGGATGGTTTTCGTCGTCGGGAGGTTCGCCATTGTGTGTCTGTGTCTTGCGCAGCGGTTCGTGGGTGGTTTATGGCGAGTCACGGCGGTTCATCTGGTTGAGGAGCTGTGCGAATGGGGGGCGCCGCCGTATGTGCGCTCGCGCGGGAATTGGTGACGTTTGGGAAGGCTGCAGGGTTTGGGGGTTAGCTGCTGGTGTTGGCGGTTCTGGCGGTCGAGGTGCGAAATGGGGGAATTTCTGGTCGCCATTGGGTCAGCCTTATCGGCGATAACGATAAGAGCTCGCGACAGGCTGCATCTCGTGGCCTTTCAAGTTGTTTGGCGTGCGCTTGCGACCATCAAGAAATAAATTCACATATCATTTTTGGATAACGACGTTGATAGAGATGAGTCAAAGTAGACACCACCTATAATAATACTGGTACCGGCCCCAATGCCGTGTTGTAGCTTGAGCGCATACATCCGCAAGTCTAACTTTTCGCCCCTCTATCTACCAATTAATATGAGCTTGTGAAGCTCTGTCTAAAGTCTGTAAAAAATGTTTACACAAACTGCATGGCACAGCTTCCTCTACGATCAAGCAGGACATTATTCCGCGGCAGGCTATGCCTCGGCAGCAGTAGCAGCAGGAGCAAGAGCAGGAGCAGTAGCGTCAGCGCCGACACCCTTCGGGACGGCACCGCCTAGGTAGTCCTCGAGCTCGCCAATCTGCTTTCCGCCGGCGACCCAACGCGTCGTCCGGGCATCGCGCTTCTGCTTGCACATGTCGTTCAGGGCGGGCCAGTAGGTGGCGTGGTCGTACTCAAACTCGAGCTTGCCGTCGCTGAACTCGGTCCACAGCTGCTCCTCGGGCACGTACTGGCGCATGTCCTCGTTGAACTTGAGCTTGTCCCGGGTCATGGGGTCAATGAACGGGGTGATGAGCTTGAAAAAGCCGTTGACCATCCAGGGGACTTGTTCTCACCGTCAGCACAACCAGTTTTGCGAGCAAGTTCCGATCACATACCGTTGATGATGAGGGCCTTGCCCAGACGCTCCGGGTAGTGCGTCTGGAGGATGTGCAGCACCTCACGGGCCAAGCCGATGCCCGGCGCCGTGTTGGAGCGGCTCTTTGACGTCTTGAAGTTGATGAGCAGGGCAATCTTCTCCTGGCCGGCGGGCATGAGCTCGATGACGCGCTCGAGCATGAAGACGAGGTGCTGGACCTGGCGCGGGGAAGGGTCTGTGTTCTGGCGGCCCGGGTTGAGGTAGTGGCACGGCCGGCGCTCCTTGTCGAAGCCGAGGATGATCTGCTTGCCCGTCTCGTTCTCGGGCGAGATGTGCTCCGGCGTGAGGGCCTCGACGCCGTACTCACGGCGCCAGACGAGCGTCTCGAGGAGGCGCTTCTCGGCGTCCTTGGGGTTCCATTTCGTGGCGCGGAGGTAGCGGAGCAGGCACTCGCGCGTGAGCCACTGGCGCTCGGAGTCGGTGAGGGGGCCCGACTTGTCGGCGTGGGCAGCGGCGCACTTGACCTCGGCCCAGGAGCGGGCCTGGGCGAGGAGACCGTCGTACTTGGACTGCTGGTCCGGGGTCAGGGCCGGGACGGCCGGGGTGGAGGACGCCGGGGCCGGCGAGGCGATGGGCGTCTTGAGGGGCCCCGATGCAGGAGCAGCGGCCTTCTCTTGCGGGCCTGTGGAGGCCGGCGTTTGATCGGCGATGGAGGCCATGGCGAGCGGAGTGATGAGCGGTCTCGGGAGAGAAGAGATCCGGGCGGCTAAGTTGATGAGGATGGGCGCGTGACCGCAAGGGGTATGGTATGGGCTGGGATGGAAGGATCTGGTGTGTTGAGTTCACCAAAGGGACATATGCCAGGGGGGCGTGAGTCGTCACGGAGTATGTATCCGTGGCCTTAGGGTCTGCGTGTGTATTCGCAGACGGAGTAGGGAGAATTGATCGGCTTTGGAGGAGGTTGGGCGCGGTTGTGATGTGAGTCCGACCAAGCACACACACACACCGCCAGAGTGCAGCAATTGATAAGCTTATGCGGTATGGATTTACGTTGAGATGGAGATTAAATGAGATGAGCTCATGCCGGGAAGCTCAGTTCCGGCCGTTAGTGCCCGCCGCCCAAGACCCCAAGACACACAAAAAGGACAAAAAGGCCCCAAAAGGCCCCCCGAGGGCCCGCTAGAAGGGACAGCGATCGTCCAGGTTGGGCGCAGAGGTTGGGTAGAGTTGTTTATTGAGAGGGGGACAAACATTGCGTTCCGTCAATCCTCGTCTTCCTAACCTTGGTACACGCTATCACAAAGAAGCCCGGACGGTTCGAGGCAGGTTACACTGAAAACCGTTTCAGTGGCCGAACATAGATCGCAATGTACAAGCGCTACACGTGTGTTTTCTTCGAGGCTCCAGGCCATGGTCACGCTACAGGTACAAAACTGCTGCTGCTGCTGCTGCTGCTCGGCGGATTCCGCGCTAGACCGGATCAAGGCGTCCCCGGTTCCACACGCTGCGCTGAGTGAAGGGTCCCTCCTTCTCCGGAGGCGGAAAGAAGATACGTACCTTCAGTGGTAGGTACTGGCCTGTGCATACCACTTTCTCCAATGACGCTGGGGGCGAGTCACTCCACGTAAAAGAGACTCCAGTAAAGTCGTCGCATCGCTCGATACGGATACGTGAAACCTCGGATCTTCGCCAACCTTCAACACAACCGCCCGCCCGCGGTTCCCTTCTAACAACGGACCAGAGCCTTTCCTGTCTCCGCCGAGTCATGCCGTGACCACCTCTGTTGTCAGCGGAGCGTCCTCCATCATCTACCGAAGAACCGGCCGCCCAGGCAAACCAGGATGGCGAGCGTCACTTGCAAACTCTCCGTCCCATCATTACTCGCAATTGTTTGACGGGGGTCGACTGACGAACGCACCAAAGCAAGAAAACACCATCATTGTCGATTGTGACTGAAGACAGCACATCTTGCTCCAGTAAAGCCTCTGACCGATCCCGTGTAACCAACAAGCCTTCTGCCGCTTCCGAGCTAACGATCGCCCGCTGTGCCGTCGCGTGGCCAGCATTGCCCAAACGAGCGACGCACACATGGGAGAGACGGACGGTTCCAGTCGAGGCGCCGCCATTCCTCCCTCTACCGGTCCCTTGGCCTTCCGTGTCCGTGGCTGATCACGTTGGGTCATCTTCGGGTCCACTCCCTTACCAGCTGCCCGGAACTCCAACCATCCGAGCTGTGGCTGCAGCCGAGCGTCTGGCTTCTCTTCCTCCCGAACACACCAAGAACCGGCCCTGGCAGGGTGTCACTCTCCACCCCATCCGTCCAACTTCCTTCATCCTCGGTTCTTCGTTTCCGAGCCATGGTCTATCCCTCCTCTCGTTTACTTGCACGCCGTCCCAATCTGGAATCCACCACCCATCTTGCGTCGCATGCTCGACAAAAGGTATGAACACATCCCATCCGTGCGGGGACGCGCCGCCGTCCCAGATGTCTGCTGGACGCACTCTCCCGTCCACACCGCTCCCTCTTCATTATCACAGTCGCATCCTCTCCCATCCCGGTTGCTCTGCACTCCAGACATCCTAGACATCTTGGGAAAGCCCTGCCAAGTTACACCGGCTTCTGGACGGGTCGTCGTCGCAACCAAGGCTCCTCCCACGAACTCCGCGCTGAGCCGTCGGGAACTCAACTGCCCACAACTGATCGTCACGGCTCCCGGCGTTGAAAAAGGCTGGGCCGTAACCTTCCAGGAAAAAGGCCCGGATCGACACCTGGGATTTGAACTTAACATATCCCAATGTTTCACCGTCTCATTGCGTTTTGCAGCTCTGCCTCGAAACTCCTTATATCATGGTCACTCTCCTCCCTTCCCTTTGGACTTATCCAGATCTGAAGAAGGTCTCTCTCCCATCGCTTGAAAGTCTTTCTTCCTGGTACAAGATGCCGCTCTCTACCTACCTCGCTCAAGCGTCCATCGCGGCCTTGCTGGTGATCTTGGGAATCCAGATGCAGACTGCCGCCGCCCAGGCAGCGCCGCCAACATGCACGAACGTCGACCAGCCGAATCCCATCTTCAGCCAGTACCCCAATAACGCTACGGGTCTCTTGAACGTCACCATGGTCATCATTCCGATTCCCATGACGACGGCACGCCGGATTATTCCTCAGCAGTACGGAATCCTGGAGAGCGCCTTCCGGGCTCTTATGCCAAACTTCCCCGCTGGCATGTACCCTGTTGTCGTCCAGGCTGGCCACGACCATGACATCCGATTTCAGGACTTTGGGATCGCCGACTTCAGTGTAAGATCTACCACTGGCATGCGCTGGAGGATGTCGACTAACGTTTTTTGACTGTAGAGAGCTGGTTTTGAGTTTCCATTCTTGGATCTCCTCGGCGACGGCGCGTCTTCCTTCCGATGGGCCCCGCGCAACTGATCTCGGCCACCAACCCTGCCGCAGTCACTGGCTCTGAGGCGTACGGAACGGAGGTCCACGCCGCCACCTTTGCCCCCGAGTGCAACGCCTACGAGGCTCTTTCTCAAGGAGGCACCTACTTCAATGGCACGGCGGGCGCCAACTACATCTCGCTCGAGATGAAGAAGTCGTCGTGCGGAAGCCAGCACGTACCATACACGCTGGCCATGTTCGACACCATCATCAACCAGCCAATCTTCGCCAACGGCTCAGCCTGCGACCAGCAGATTCGCCTCTTCAACACTACCGTGACAAAGGGCGCCTTCGAACCGGTCCCTGTCCGCGGAACCGTCAAGTCTAATCTGGGACCGTTTAAGACGGACACGTCATTCCCCGACGTGGCCGGTTTCCAAGCCGCTACGCCCTTCATCGAAAACAACTACCTTCCGTGCGAAATGTTCAGAGGATACAACCCCGTTAAGACCACCTGATACCCCAATTGCTCTTATTTTTTTCTTGCCTGGCATTTTTAGATCAGCTGGAGCCGATGGAAGGCTCTCTCACGACCTGATGACACCATGACGTATATATTAATACTGAATCGGGCCCGCACATAGTGGTCCGATCATAATACCCATCATTAATATACTCCGTGTGCCGTTTGGCACCGTGATCAACATTCCCTTTTTGCTCAATGGCCGTGAACAGTATAAGATGTGTGGCATACGCGAGACGATTACCTCAATGAGAGAGAATCATATGCAAGTCTTTTGCGAATGCACTGAGCATACGTTCTGAATACTAGGCAAGCCCCAGGCGCCGTTTTCATCCGGACGAACCGCTTCAGCTTATGACAGCTTCTGGGTCCCCTCTTGCTAATTAAAGCTCTGGTGAAACAAGAAACCACCGACGGCTTTCCTGGGTTGCAGCCAGCATCGACTATTCCCTCCATCAGGTGGAGAGGAAACAGAATGCTGCTCTAGCTCCCAGACCAGCTACGGCCTAACAACCTCCCTTCTACACCGCCTCCTCTACCACGTCAATATCATTGCAATTCAGTGGCAGCAAGGCATATATTCCGTATAAGTAGACCCGATTACGCGGTGCCTTTGACTTGTTGCAAGTTGAAGGTATTCCCTTCAAGAAGAAGCGACTTTTTGAGCACTTTGGTCTCTTAGAGCTGTAAGGGTTTCAGATCTTTGCTGACGACATGGCCGACCCTGCTTACGACTGCAAACTGTACTTTAACTGACCAAAAATTCTAGACCTTTTACTTGTTAAGAACGCGTAGGTTATACCAAAGCAGTATGTTGCCTGAAACTCTCATTTTACAACCCAACAACCTACAGGGCTGTGAGCTTCACCTACAGTCGGGAACTCCCATTGGGCGGCGCAGCACTTGTAGAAAACAGGACCACGGGCGCTTGCAGAATGGCTCCAACGGAACAAATGAACTGACGAAACTGCACAGGAACACGAGGTAAGGAAGACATAAGGTCAAAACTATACAATCTTACTGCTTGGCTGGCCTGCAGTGTACCTCAGGCCTGGATTCAAGAGATGACTAGCAACATCCGTCACACAGTCCAGTACGTCAGAGATCACTTCACAAAGAGCTTTCCAACCTGGTCAGGGTCAGAAAACCTTTGGATAAGCAATCTCTCAAGCCTAAAGAGTCTGTCAGAGTTCCTGCTGGTGTGGCTAGGGGAGTTTTGGATAGGATGTTCCGTGGCGGAAGGAAACTCTCAAAACATATCCAAACCATCACCAGAGACTGAGAATTTCCAGGCTTAATTTCTGATTATCCGTCTTTTTATCTGTCTATGGAATAAGGTCTGATGAATGATAATTCCTGGATGATGCCTCCCTTGTTCCTAGCCTGGTGTCCCGTTCCCTTTGCATGATTGCCCAGTAGCTGTCGAAGTGGGCAATGCGGCGGCTAACCAGACACAAGTGAGACAGTCCGAGCGGATGCCGGATACATACCTAGGACGGATTTCGCCAGTCAAATACACGAAATCCGATGGTACGTGCATTTGGCACCTGGCAAAAGGCCAGCCAGCACACGAGGGGGGTTTTCCTAAAGACGCGTAGACCCAATGTAACAAGAACGATATCCTGTCAATCAACGTACTGCAACAGTACAGTAGCCCCCGATCAGGCTACTAAGATCCGTTCAAAAACTGCGTAAGAATCCAGGTGTTGAATAGCGCCCCTTTCCACTAGGGAAGGCCACGTAAAGATATGAATAGTCAACTTGGTACGCCAACTGAAATATCAGCCGCGACTCTGGGATTGTCGCGAACCAACAGCGGACCGAGGCCAGGACTAGGTGTAAGACCCAATGCCGGGAACTAATTAGATGCCTTCCATAGTTCTTCAGAAACCAACCCCGTGATTCACTCTTTCATAAGTGACTTTTAATTGTCCTTCTGTTAGGAAGCTATACGAGCGACCTACGCCTTGAAGTGCACGATTGGTCACCGGGCACCCACTAGACCAGGATGATTCCAATAAAACCTATAACTACTGTCATTGAGGATCAATCTCAGTTACCTGCTAGCAGAAAACACGCCGTCGGATATCTGACCGTAACACATCACTGGAATATTAATACTGTTAAGGACCTTGCTGAAAAGGCCTGGAGAACTTTAAGTAAGAACTTTAAGTAAGGCTACTATCCCATCGGCTGCTAACTCGCGCCAACTTTGCTGGCTGAGGTACAGAGAATGCCAATCAGATTTATTACCAGCGTATATTCGTCCAATAGAAAAATACAAATACAACTTTATTTGGAGAAGTCATGGTGCAGAACAAAATGAAGTGAGTCTGCACCCAATGAGATCAGTGGCTGGATATGGGCAATGCCCAAGAGACTAAAGCAGGTGTTGTTTTTACGTGGAAAAGGACTGGTTTCTGATGCTACTGACGATCAAAGGGAGGATCTGAAAAGCCAAAAGCGGCGGTTGGGTTTCCCCACAACCTTGTCCCTGTCTTTTTCCGATGCCGAGTCGCCGATTTGCACGACATCCGCCCCGACCGCTTCCTCATTACAGACCCAGGCCCCCACTGTCTGTGTCAAGAAGCGCGCCGCCCACTCTCATTCACTGTAACAGCCAAGCATGACTTAGTCATCTGATTGCTGCAACACGGATGAAATAGTCGCGGGTGAGGATTACGTGATGGGCATTCTCAATTCTTTCCGTCCAGCGGCGGGGGGTTTTGTCTCATAGAATCTGAAGCCCCGATAAAAGCCGCCGGGCACTTACAGACAACACTTGAGATTTCAAACGACACAAACAACAAACAAATTGGAGCGTAGGAGGACATGACTGTACCGATTGTTGAGACCAACACAGCAGAGGAACCAGACGTAATGATCGACGCCGACAGCACAAGCAAAGATAACGGTCCTGAATGCACACGCGCGTGGTGAAGGATCGGAGCGGGCTGTCGCTTCGACTTGTTCGTTTCGGGATGATGTGCAGCTTGGCGATGCTTGAACCTCTACGTCGACGATGATCGCCTCTTGCCAAGCGCTTTTAGCGCAAATGGCGAGAATGCGGACGATTGGGAGCCGACGCAAGTGAGCCCCGCTGGCTTCGCAGACTGACAACCCCCGATCGACGTTGAGATTCTAGGGACAGACGGAACAGAGGTCGTGCCAATCATGGCTAGGAGGCATGTGACGTTTGTTGTCGTTTGGAGACTAAGGAAACGAGTAAACGGTTGCGATCGCGACACCGTCGACCTCTGACCAGAAAGTGAATCTCACCAAGCCTCTGTTAAACAAGCCAACCTCCTTACAGATATGATACAGGTTCATGCAGAGTCAAAGCTATGCAGCGGGAAGGTTAAAGGTAAATGTAACGAAAGGAGGCTATTTCTCGCGAACTATCTCATCGAGTGCCAGATGACCCCATCTTTGCCAAGACCCGAGACTCCCAGTTTTTACTCCGACATGTAGGCATTTGACTGGACAAAGATTTCGTGGCATCCTTGAGCAATGAATCTGATTGGCTTCATCCCGCCCTCGGCAAAAGTGGGTGGGGTCATTTAGCACTCGACGGGATAGGGGCCGTTGGGCTTCCTCTGCATCGCGCTGCGAGGGTCGTCCCATTAGCGTGGTTGAGCTAATGGCTGCGATGGCGCAAGGCGAGGTCAGAGGGGGATACCTAGGACGGCAACTAGAGACGAATGATCGGTGAAGGATGCGCGTCAGACTGCGACTTTGGACGGGTTGTAAAACGCGACCGGAAACGCCTGACAGGAGGGTGCAACATGCTAACATGGTTGAAGGCCGTCAGCGGGGCCCCGCTTGGCGTTTTTTAGGCCGCTGAAACCTCGCCTGCTCCCTCAACATGACCGTTGGACGGTGAGCGGCTCTGGGGCTCTGGGGCGACGCAGCTCGAGGAGGCGCGAAGACCCCTGTCTTGAAACTTTAGCCTCAGACTCGCTCACGTCTCTTTTTCTTGAGATGAGACGAAGACGAGCCAAAAACAGGATGTTGTTACAAATGAGACGATCAAAGAGCCGAAAAGGGGGATTGAACAAAAGAACATGTCGGGCCACGCACGGGATGCTTGCGAGATAGCTCTGCCACTCTTTCTTTCTCACCCTCTCTCTCTCTTCCTCTCCTTGGCGCAGGCGCATTGTCTATCCACTTCTTTTCAGTCCGTATATTCGGTTGATTTAATCATTCTCTTTGATAAACGACGTTGCCTCTCCTTAGTTACTCAGCAGACGGTTGATCCGCATATTTTAAACCGCTCGTTATTTCAACATGGACATGTCAGAGGCCAAGTACGCGAATCTCGGCATCGAGGACCACGACCACGATGACCGCAGCAGCACCGAGGTCGAGGAGTCGCTGATCGGCGGGGACGACAAAGCCTGTCGGAGCTGCCTGACCAAGGAGTACCAGAGCCCCTCGACGAGGAGGCAGAACCGGTGGCTGGCGATGCTCAAGTCGTCGCGGTGGTTCGTCGACACGGCATTGCTGTTGGTGATCCTGGGGTTGCTGGTGAGGGAGCAGATGCGACAGCCAACGGAGAACAAGTTGGACTTTGGAGGGGACTTGACGGGCGTCAGTGGAAAGTGTGAGTACCTGGATGCCACCGTGAGGATGTGGGAACGGGGCACGTTGATGGTGAGGGCACGGCTAACTTTGAGCATGCAGTCTCGCAGCAGATCAAGACGTTTACGCCAGACTACGAGGGCAAGTACGCGCCGAACGACACGTCAAAGTTCTTCACAGACGAGGTGCTCAACAACTGGAACGAGCTGATGCCCAGTAAGTTCTCCGCGCCTCTGAAGTAGCCCTGAGCGAGTATGCTGACGCGCACCACAGTTGGCATGGGCTTCCAATGGGTCAACGACACGCACAAGTACCACGACCTGCCGACCCCCATCGTCTGGCCCGAGAAGACCGTCTTCACCACCTCCGTCACCCACCAGCTGCACTGCTTGGTAAGACCGACCCGTCATCCTGCTTCGAGTCTCCGCTCCAGCCCCAATCTAACTCTTTTGCTCAGTTCGCCGTCGTCCAAACGTACTCCGGCCTCACCTCCGGCCACGAGATCCCCGACGACCACCACTGGCACATGATCCACTGCTTCGCGTACCTCAGACAGACCATCATGTGCAGCGCCGACTTAGCGCTCGAGGGCCTCGAGACGACATTCCCAGACCACAATGGCGGCTCCGACGGCTGGGACTCGAAGCATGGTGAGTGCTCCGTGACCACGGCGACCCTGAAGTGGACTTGCTGGCTAACCGCAGATCAACAGTGTGCAAGGATTACAAGCAGGTCAAGAATTACCTGGAGAGCGTCAGGGCGTACGACGACAGGGAGATCTTCTAAGCCATCAGCGATTGGCATTTTCAGTTCGAGAACATACAGTATTAAAGCATATTTCCATCAGCGGGACATAAAAGTAAATGGCATAAACAATTGAGAATCATTCCCGCGACTTAACCGCATCGTCCTTCTTGATTTGGTAACTGGCCTCAATAGAGCACAGCCTTGTAAGTCCTTTGGTACTCATCAATGGACTCAGCCAGCTCCGGATGCCTATTCGCCAACTCCGGATCTCGCAAGTCCTCGATCTCCTCAATCTCGTCCTGCAACTCGTCCTTCGTGAAAAGATCCCACTCAGAAAGCTCCGTGTCAGGTAACGGCAGGCACAGGGAACAATTTCCTCCCAGTTGGCAGTAACACTCGTTCGGATCCATACACCCGGCATGCCCGTACCCCTCCCAGCGTTCTCTCTCCGCCATCGGCCCCGTCCACAGCTGCTTCTCATACTCCCGGTCCGACCTCCACACCGCTGCCCAGCTCTTCGAGTTCATGCGGAAAACATCGTTGATCTTGACGCTCCTGTACTTGACCTCGGAGCGGATGCGCTCCTAGACCACGGGGCGATGCTCCTGTCGTCCCACCGCCAGCACCAGCTGCCGTCCTTGCGGTCGACCCGGACCCGGGATCCCATGGCGGGGTGTGTCTGGCACTCGTAGACGTTGCAGACGCACGCGATCGCCGCGGCGCGCACCGAGAGCTCGGGGAATAGCCGGGTGTCCTTTTCGTACGTCTCCCCGGCGGTGCCGAACTCGCCCTCTCTTACCGTCCTCGTGCGGCCCGCGAATCTGGCGCCCTTGGGGAAGAAGGGCCGCTGATAGTACGCTCTCCTGATGAGCTCGAGGCGGAAGAAGGCGCGCTGGAGCCTCGCCCTGGCCTTCTTGTCCATCTGAACGCCTTCGTGGCGGACGCCGGTTTGTTCGAACTTTGTGTGGCACTGGAAGGCGTAGTCAAAGTTCGTGGGGTCTTCCGTCCCGTGGTCTTTGCAGAGCTCCTGGTAGTAATGTTCTTCGCCGGCGGGGTCGTGGTTGGTCCAGTCCGCGCAGTCGCGACTGGGAACTGAGCGGTAGGCGTGGACGTCCCTGCGAGGGCATGCGGACTTCCAGGAGGCCTCCCATTCTTCAAATGTCGGGTACGTCTTGGAGCACTTTCGATCGAGGAGCTTATCGATGACTCTAACCAATTCGCAGAGGTCGTCGAGGTTCCATTGTCCGCGATCCGTTGATTTGGGATGTCGGTTTTCGTTCGGGGTGCCTGTGGCTATGTGAGTTGGCTTATCGTCACCAGAGCAGTAGCTTTCAGAATGTTTTACAAGAGGGAATTGTGATACGGCTCCGTTCTCGTAGTCTCGGTCAAACGCCTTTCTCGCTGCCTTGCCCATGTGCAGGCGGCGATCGATACAGGCGATGGCGTCTTCCCGGGCCACGGGCGCAATCAGATTCCGGAGAACTTGGAGTTTGTTCTTTCTGAAGACGGCTCTGACCGATGCGCTCTCGAGCAAGAGTTTGTCAACATCCTCCATTGAAGTCTGGGATAGAAGCTGCTTCATAATTGCCGTGATCCCATCCGGCGAAGTCGCCTCGACGTCGATCGTCTCGGGCAGCACTTGCGCCAGTCTGTTCCAGACGAACAACTTGGACATGGTGTTCCCCATGTTAGTAGGAGCGACTGTGTTTTGGTTGGGGAATATAAAGTGAAATCTGCTTGGTAAGTTCGTTGGGGTTTACCCGGATGGATTGGAAAGCAGATCGCCTTGAAGATATAACTAAATGGTTGAAGACTAGCATCATTCCTTTTCGAGTGTTGTTTTCTTCTTCTTCTTTATGTTTCGGTCCAAAAGCTCATATTAGAGCTCTTGAAGGAATCAGAAAGTGTGCTCAAAAGACCAACATGAAGTTATGACAAGAGCCATGTTCCTTTCAACTGGCTTTGTCAGGGAAGAACAATTGTTTCTTAAATCTTCGACACACGCTATTTTCAACATACTGCTGATGAAGTTTTTTCCAAAGCTCGAGAAGGTAATTCATTCTTTAGGGGTTTGCTCACGACTCAAGTCGACCAGGGGGTCATCCTTCCTATATACGCAGTAGGTGAGACTGAAGGGTCACCACAAGAATACTAAGCTTCGAGCTGACAACACCATCAGACAAACTATAGTTACTGCCCTTTGCAGAAGTAACGTGGAAACAAATAAACCCCTGTCATAAAGACCCTGCGCCACATGCAGTATTATCACCATCGAGACGCGCCACCAAAAATCTTACTAATGACTCGACATCGACAGCTTTCGGCGATGGCTACTCTTTCAGCAGTCAAGTCAAATCAGGTACTGGACAGACAACTGCCAACACCGGCCGGGGCGTCTTCAAGTCTCTTTTTGGGAGCCTTATGACCTCCTGTTACCACACTGCAACTTGTCGACTCCCAATGGTAGCTACGCCGTACGATGTAAGCGCCCATGCACGATGATCCTCTATTTAAGCAGAGTTATGTGTGTCGAGTTTGTACTCAATCTGCCAATGGATGCTCCTCCAACAGAACAAATCCGAGAAGCGGTCGCCAAGGTCTTGGAAGACAACAGTTATGGGAGAAAGCCACAAGGCTTGGCACACAGCGGAAGAGTTTGACCGGAGGGCTACGAAAGCCACAGACCTTTTGGAGGTTGTATCACGGCCCGGTAAGATATTGTGACTGAGAGGTATTTGAAGACGAAGCTAGAGAATGGTTTGCATGGCCTGAGTGAGAGTACGATTTCTCCTTTAGCGCAAGACTTTGAGGTAAAAAGAGTGCGGGGCTGACGGGCGTTCAAGCTACAGCAGGAAATGGAGCTGTGCCAAGATCCTTCGAACTGACAAAAGATCCAAAGACGCTCGTATTCGTATTCGTGGATACTGGACATATGTATGTGTTAGCTTCTCTTCAAACATCGATGGTGCATCTCTTCAATTATAAAAAGACTGAAGCTTCTACTTAAGTCTAGTTTGAATAATGACTAAAAATCAATAAAGAGTTGATACTTCTTACAGATTCTGTTGTATTTCCAAATTATGGCTTGCTTCACACCGTTTTCGGTAACTGTGCATCATGTACCCGCCGAGGTCCCCAACCTGATCGCTTACGAACGAGGAGCATCAACTTCAAAAAATGCCATCGTTTGCATCGGAGGTTTGACTGAAGGCCCTCATACAAATTCTGTCATCGGAACCATAGCACAGAAGTTGGAAAGCACGGATTACGGGGTGTGGGAATTGCGGATGCGAAGCTCCTACACTGGCTTCGGATACTCAAAGCTTTCCAACGACGTTGAAGACATCTCCGCATTGGTTCAATACCTTCGAAAGATCGACAAAGAAAAGATTGTGCTTCTTGGGGCATCTACTGGTACGTGGGTTTGAGTGTCTCTTGAGTGTCTTCCGGATGAGATGATCATTAATTGATGAGCCGTACAGGGTGTCAAGACTGTCTGGACTACTCTGATCACGAGAAATATCGCAACGTTCCGGTCGACGGTTACATTCTCCTCAGTCCTATCTCCGATCGTCAAGCTGCTGGCTTGATAATGCCACAGGAAGACTTCGAGAAGAGCATCAAACACGCGCAAGACATGATCGACCAGGGCAACGAAAATGAAATAATGCCAACATCATTGATCCCATTCATCTTCACATCCCCGATAACAGCATACCGATGGAACTCGTTGGGGCTCAAGGGTGAGAACCTTTTGGATTAAGTTTGGCGCACGCCTTGCTGACTGTATCTGCGTGATAGCGGTGACGATGATTACTTTTCCTCGGACCTCGATAACGTCACTCTTGAGAGGAAGTTCGGACGGGTTGACAGGCCAATATTGTTTCTCCCAAGCGAGCAAGATGAGCTGGTTTTACCTTCAGTCGACAAGAAGCAACTGCTCGAGCGGTGGTGCCAGGCTTGTCCAGTGGGCATTGTTAGCGAGTTGTCTGGTACCGTTCCAGGAGCTGACCATGCGGTAACTCAGGCAGAGGCCCGCGAGTGGGTCGGGACCACCGTGCGAAGCTTTCTTGATTCGCTGTAGAGAAAAATGCTATGAAATTGTTGAGAGGATGGGATTTTGTATGTTCATGACGAGGAGATCCACAGTAAAGCAGATTGCTCTCTGGTTCCTTTAGTCGACGATGTTTACATGAAGTGGTCCTGTGTATTACTGAAGGGGCCTACGCTGTTCTTGTCAGGACCTTTGGCCTTGTCTCTTTCTGTTTTTGACGCATAGCACTATCACACAGCCGGAGGGAAGACATTAGACCTATCACAAGACAAGGCGATAATGTAGTCGTTGTACCAACCTATTCGTTGATGATACCCCTGAATAACTGTTCAATGTGGTGAAAGCCTAGAATCCAACGTGAAACAGTCAAAGTTATTGAAATCGTTCTTTGTCACAATTGTTTGCTTCGTGGTTTCCTTGCCTTCTAAGTTGTTGGCAGGTGCGACGGTCTCAATATACTTGGAAAGGGGAGCATCCTTAACTCAATGAGTCAAAACCGCTCTATCCCACTACGAACTTAGCTGCTTCTTGGGACCGCCAGCCTTCTATAGCTCATATTTATTGCTCTCATGGCTCTTGGTTTCATGAGCTCCTTGGCTGGCTGGGAAGGGGCTGTGGCCCGCCAAAGTCCTTCTCTAGCCATGCTCGACAGCGATGATGTTTCCAACGGCTTCAACTTGCTAATAGATTCCGAAGATCTCGATACCGCTGATCTTGGCTGACTTGGCGCGTATTTGGCTGCACCATGGCATGTGGCAGGCACAATCTTAGGGCAACCCTGAGCTTGTACGCCACAAGAGACAATGGTAGTGGTGGCAGCTAAGAAGTTTGGGCAGAGTGATATACATGAAAGGGAACAAAAGGATTGGACTCTCCAAACTTCGAATGTTGACATGTTAACAATTGCTATCCTGGTTTGACGTACGGCGGGTGACACATGGCTTCCAGATAAAGGACCATGAACCAAACGTAACTAACAAAGCTGTAAGAAAGTCGTACAGCTTTTAGTTCAAGCCTTAAAAAGCCCAGTTTTGGTATCGTTGGAAGTTGATGGGCATACGATACTTGTGAATTGACTCTATACATACTTTGCGATGGTGTTAAACCGAAATGGATGTCTAAGTAATGGTGCTCTGCAGTATTAGCAATACGCTGTGTGAAGAAGTGTACCAAACTGCTAAAAATGCAAATTCTGTTTCTCAAGTGCTTGTGTGGCGCACTGCTTCTACAAAAGTTCCATTAAGACTGATTTTGTCATAAGCAGCGCAAGATCTGTCAAACAGATTACATCACTAAGGCTGGCACGGGTTGTTTTAGGTCAGTGATCGGCAATGTTTGCGTTGTTGTCCACCATTTCGAGGCTATGTTGCTGCCTGGCCTCCGAAGTCCTTAGCTTGCTGTGCTTGTGTACTTCAAATTGCTTATCACTAACCAGGATTCGCTTCCTACAGGAAACCTTCAAGGCAGTGTTTACGCAGCTAACGACATGACATCAAAATATATCCCCTGCCGACAACAGCGATTTGGTTGGTTGGCGACTGCATTCGCCCCCTTTTTGTTGCAGCAAAGCTGACGAGCCAAGACCAAAGAATAGTACGACTATTGTATTAATGCCTGAACGGGGCCTCTTTCACTGCAGTTTTTGTGATGCTTTGTTGCTTACTCTTGCTTTCCCAGCTACACTGGCACAATGCCGTGATCACCAACGCTTCACAACGGCTTGTAAACAATCTCATATCGCGACTACGATTATGGATTCACCAAAATTGACGGGGCTGGAAATTCCATCCACGAGATCCTTCGTCCCTCTCCTTGTCGAACAGAGACCGCCTCTCATAAAAAGACTCAATATGCGATACAAGTTTGCTAAATTCCGGCAGCGCTTGTGGGATACAAAAGAGTGGAAGGATGTGTCCCTTGCCGCCTTGAGGGACGTCAGAGGTCATAATTGGTTTACGACATTCGCCTGGCTTTTGACCCTGGGGTGGATCGCCGCACTCATTTTTCTCTTGTATTACCTTGGTACCGAGTCTCTTCGAGGGGAATCGAATGCTTGTCAGCCGGATGGCAGTTTCGATGTTTTCATGAGTGACTACACTCTTTGGGCAGCGTCTGGGTTCTTCCAGATCACATTTGCATGGGGCAGATTCTCTTTTGCCGATGCCAAGGCTATTGACGTTGCATGGGACATTGTAAGACTCGATCAAAACAAATCTCTACCGTGGACCAGAACTACCACTAATGTGTGTTGTATAGGTGTTTGGTCGCGGTGGTCAAGCCCTGCTTGCATTGATATCTTGGAAAGCTTTCGCAGACTACACTGCAATCTCCATGCAAGCCAAGGCCGTCACTTACAACACGTTCCAGACGATATTTCTTCAAGACCAACCAGGCATTTACTCGACGTTTTACCTCCTACGTGATTTCACTCATTCTCGTGGACTACAATCTCGCGCGATGATGGTCATCATGGTCTTCATTGCCATATTAATTCTGCTATTTCCTACACTTGGAGGTGCAATGACAGGGTACTCAGCAAACAACGACGCATATATCAAAGGTTATGAGGGCACATTAATACCATTTGACTCATTTAATGCCGCCGGATACGTCATTCACGACGCTTGGAGGATTAACATGACTGGGGATCTTTTGCTCACCTATCCTCGATTGAAGGGTGAGTGTTGAAAGGCTTATGGGTCTAGCAGTGGCCGACCACACTGTTCGAAAAGAAACTGACAAGTATAGTCCCGGTAACGGAACCAACTTACACTTCCAGGTCAGCAAATTGGGGCTGCATAGAAGACGACCCAGAAAGGTTGATGTCCTGGGCGGCTACTGAAGTCACGGCACACGTGGAAGAGAGATGCTCGATGCATCACAACGTTTCCGAATGTACGTGTTTCGTATCTTTTATCCGCTTGCACAATCAGCGACAATACAGAGCTAACACTTTTCATGAAAAGATGTTCAACAATACGGGTTTTACGGATTAGAAGACAAAGAGTCTACTTGGATGGGTCAGACGCTCTCGGCACCCGTCCTCAACATTTCAGCATCGTGGTTGCCTCCAACCAGTGCTTACTATGGCTGGAACTGGACCGACCCTCGTACAGGCCAGCGACCCTTCGATGAAGTGTCTCGAGCGGTTTACGCAGCTGGAAACGAAACCTACTCTCTTGATTATCTGAAGGCGAATGGAAGTTGTCAGCCCATGAGTGACCCTGGTTTCAGCGCTGATTCTGTCCGTGAAAGCTACGAATGGGGCTTCTCATATCTTCAGCTGTACATCTTGATAATTCTCTTGCTGGTTTGGACGCTCTGTCTTGCCTATATGTGGCTTAAGGCTCGTCTGACGATGCGGATGAGGCGGAGATACGGCGTACCAAGAGGGTACAAGGGCGTTTTAGAGCTCTCCGACGCTATCCGAAAAGAACTCCAAGAATGCAACCCCGACGACCTTTCTCACGACCAACTCTACGATGAAATCAAAAAAGGGTTAAAAGGTGGGAGAATTGCGCTTGAAAAAGCAGATACGCCAGAAACCTATGACCTTTTGGGAGGGGCATGGGCATACTGCAAAGATGAAAAATGGTGGATAATCGCTATACTGAGCATGATAGGACCCTGTGCGGCGCTTTCCTGGGTCGATGCTTCCTTTGGATGGTGGATGCTCGTTCCGGTAATTTCCATGACGCTTGCAGTACTTGTTGGCCGATCGATGGGGAGTCGATTGGTTCTCTTTCTCGCCGGCTGCAGTCTGGGAACTATCGTATTCTTGGGAGCATGGTATGGACCAGGAAGACATGATCGGCCTAGGTATTAAGTCATCTGGGGTTACCTTTACAAAAGAAAAGCTCCACCCTTACAGAATGCCTCGCTTTACTTAGAAGCTCAATGGGGTTTGCCAGTGACCAGGTAGCACACTTGCTCCACGCTTCATCATCGAATAACATTCATCAAAGAGAAGATTGACCTGGTCGGAAGCTTGCTTTGCATCATTGCAAAGCCATGGTCATCGCATTTAGGCCTCAAAAGTAAATCGTCATTATTCATCTACCAAAATACGCTAAACAGGAGAAATATGTGGATTAATGTTTGTGCTGTTCGCCCTTGTGCTATTCGCCCTTGTGCTGGTTGGGGATACAACCTCGCTGAAGCCTGAGATCTGTTTTTGTAGTGTTACAGGACTCGGGACCCAATTTTCACTCAGGCCAGTGTCTTTCCGCTGAGCAGGTGGCGGATTTGTCAGCGGAGTGACGACCTGTGAATATGGTGAAGTGTCTGCAAGCTCGTAGCTTTCGCATGGCTCTTCGAACTGTCTGTAATAACTGTCGTTCTCCCCTTGTACGGAGTTCTGTCGGGGCCACTCCGACTTGTATGCTGGAACCGGCTCTGCCAATTCCGCTCGCTGTTGCGAACCAAAATGTCGTCCCAGGTCGCCTTCAAGCTCCATATGTGCGCCAGGGTTTGCGTGGTTGACGTTGGTGAAACCCGCAAAGTTGGTGGTAGACGACCTGGAATCGGGTGCATCGCGCTTCTCGTTGCGGGGGATGGACCTGGAGGCATCTGTAACTTGTGTTCGGGGGTTCCTTTTACGGTTCTTCAGCCAGAACCACAGCCCGATAAAGAAAACAACGGCGGCAGCGATTACTACCGGCACGGCAACCTTGAGACCCAGTGATGATGTGTTGGTAGTGGCTGTTGAAGTGCCGTTGCATGCTGCTGTAATGTGATCAGGCAAAGTTCCGTTGGCAACTTGCGGGCTGAGCCAGAAGTTCCCCGCATTGTAGTCAACGTGGAGGTAGTTTTGTGAGAGAAAGACACCTCCCAGAAGGGTGATGTTCTGGCCCAAGTCGCTGAGTCCGGATGAGACGGTAGTGTCGATTCGCGTATTGTTCAAAACCGCGAATTTCCCACGCGAATCGGTGCCGCGGACATGGTGGACAAGCTCGTAATGCGGAATAACAGTCGTGTAGCCGTTGGACAACTTAATCGTCAGAGACCCCAGCAATGGCTCGCGGTCTGCAGGGAACTCCGAGGCGTCGAAGGCCTCCCCGTCAGAATCGATGTGGTTACCGAGCTTCTGGAATCTGTCAAACACAGTGGGCGTAAACGTGAAGCTGTTTTGAACGGTGTCTATGCACGCCGCTACTCTGACACCGGGGTCGGAAAGGGAGTGGTCGCCGTCCTTGTTCGTCAGGATGATATCGGAAATAGTAACTTGCAGTGGGCAGGAAACCGGAGCGTTGGCTCCCCACATCGAGAACTTGGTGACTTTTGAGTCGTCAAATCGAGCCTCGTTAAAGCCACCGACAACAAGCTGGCCATCGCGAGGATATAGCTCGGACGTGGAGCCATAATCAATGCTGAAGCTCCCGGTGGGCGCAAGCTTGTTTCTAAGGAAGCTCTCGAGGGTCGAGGAGTTGGGCCCGAATGCCACAGCGCTCTTGTTCATGGAATCGTAGTCGGCCCAAACTTCAAAAGGGTACCCAAAAGCCACAGCCGGGGCGTCGGTAAAGTTTGCAACATCATACCCGTGTAGCACTGTTGTGTCACCGTCATCGGGCTGTGCATCGACGGTCCTGTTGGGAGTATTAGCAAATAAATAGGCATAGGCGGAAGTCTGCGGTGCCATACGTCACATTCCAGTCACGAAGGCTGATAACTTGGCTGAAGGAGCCTCTTGTTGTGTCATAAACGCTGCCAGAAGCTCCTTGGCAGCCAATAAATGCGTATGTGTTGTTGTCCGGGCAGTCCAGACTATTTCTCACTCGCGTGTTATTTAAAATGGTAGACATTCGCATGCCTTGCAACTGGCCACCCAGCGTGACCTTTAGGCCACGGTTGGCGCCGATGCCATTCGGGAAGGTGACGTTCTAAGACGACACAAACAGTCAACCATACGCCACGACCATACAAGAACAGACGGAAAGAAAACAGACATGATGAGAAGAGGTCGAATGACTCGTGAGCTTCTTACTTTTATGGGTAATACTAATGGGTCTGCAGAATTGGAGCAAGTGTCGCCCGCGAGAGCGAGTTGAGAAAAGATGCTGGCCAGCAGGAGCGCCGCCCAGGGCGTTGAAGGTAACATCACGAAACTTCGCGATATAGAAAACTGTTGTGTCAAAGCATGGCGGGCAGACGGCCAAACCGAATTCATGTTACCTTGTGGTTTTGACGGCAGTGCGCCCCTTTTGAAAGCTGTTGTCTACCCACCATCCCCGGGCACGTTGCAGTGTGAAGGTGTTGATACCCTGCAGACATGCCAGGGAACCTAGCCGAAAGGGGGAGACGAAACCCACCGGTAAAGTCCTTTATTATTAGAAGGGGCTCACGATTGTCCACTGCTGCAACTTTATCCCCGCTTTAGCGACTTGGAGCGATTGCGACTTGCATAGTATAGGAATGCACTCTCTTAAGTGTTGTGATCCCTCTGTGTCTCGATCAAACTTCGAGGGTTTCTGGGGAAATCTATAGACATGCTGTCAAAGGCCATGCCGAATTGAAAGCCAAGACCATATAGCACACCGTCGTGTCTCACTTTTTGCTGAAGTGTTCGGACGACTGAAACACAGATGCACGGTAATTGTTGATGTCGAGGAGTGTACTAGTCATGAACCATGTTCGAAGCACCACAACTCCTGCGGTGCAACTTCTTTGGCGCACGGGCGTCATAGTAAGATTAGGGTCGTATTGCAAGCACCGGAACAACCCACGAGTGCCTGGCAAGGCGTACATACCTTGTCTGGTAACGATGGTTTTCCGCGATCCGGCGCTTCCAGCGAACCGCTCTCACCGAGACTGACGCTTAGACAGCCCTGACATGATCTGCGCAACGCCCTCGTACAGATGCCGCGATCAGCATGTCTGTCAAAAGGAGAGGTTGATGGATTGCGTCTCAGTTATGTTGCATGAAGCTGGCTAGATCCCGCGAACAAATGTTCATAAGGCTACCACTTTTCGCTCTAAGACACTATTGTTCATGGGTCAATACCGTCCCATGTCGAGGTCTACTGGTCGCGCACCGCGGGCAGACTTGGAAAAGAGTGACGCCCCTTGCCATGACCGGGATGCCTTTTGCTTCGCTTTCGGCAACCCTTGCAAGTTGTGGGGGGTAAATCGTTCCGCCATTGTGCCAACTGTTCGGGAAGAGACCTTGATCTGATTCCTTTGCCCCGGTGAGATCTAAAGGAATTCCACCACAACATTACGAAAATGACCCAAAGAGGGAGATTTGGCGGTCCAAGCAATGTTGATTAGGCGCGACTTGCCATTTTGCTACACTTCAAGCGCCTGGACCGTTGCGCCAACAAGGATGGGCGATGACACCCTTCCCCGGATCGTTCCGTGACCATTGCTTAGTCGATCAATGAATAGTTGTGATAGTATTATATTTTCAAGAGCATGAAATTAGCGTCCTGGTTGTTCGAGAGCATAAAAACCGAGTAAGTGGGCTTATGCAGTAAGGATGGCATGCAAAGTTCTACGACGATACATCGCTCGAATCGTTGCGAAAACTGGTCAGGTATAGTCTGAAATCGCCCAGCTCAGGACGATGCAATAACAAGCTCCTCACAACTTACTGTTTCAAACCTGCCTAACATACCTACGTCAACCCACTGAGTCCTTCACCGTATCAAAGAACGGCGCCAGGAAGCTCGGAGGGCAAGTGACAAGATTAGCTTTGACGTTTGCCATCGACCCATTTACCCTTCCGATAATATGGTACGTAACAAGCTTGGTCCATAGCCTATCTCCTTCGGGTGGACACGCCGGTGGAAGTGAACGGAGCAACACGTGAGTACATAGTATGCTGAGTGTGGGGATCGAGTCTTTGCTACCGAAATGAGATTGGAGCGCCAAAATCAGCTCCAACTTCGAACTAAGCGAACTTGGCTGCCAATTGTACTTTCTCGTTGCCCCTTGAGGGAGAATTCCACGTGGTCGTGGTCGCTAAGACACGTTCCGCGCTGCAGCTCTCGATATGTACGCTACGACGCTGGGTCATACCTACAGACCATGTAGTTCTACTTTAAGAGCGAACTCCTTGTCCGTAGGCCTTTTGAAGTGGCTGGGCATGAGCGCATGAATGTCGACTCTTCTAGACTTCGCGAGGCGAAACTTTCAGTGGCGGACTCCTCAGCAAAAAGTATGTATTATAGACCTGGATTTTTGGCCCCAACCCAACCATTGGTTTCTGATCACGGAAATCTGCTGCGGCTCAATGGTCTAGTGGTATGATTCGCCCTTCGGGTTCTATAACAACTCTTACGCCCAGCGTGAATGGGCGAGGTCTCGGGTTCGAATCCCGATTGAGCCCCTCTTTGTCGTGTTTTTTTCACTATACCAACATTCAGCATTCACCGCACATACGTGCAAAATTTTTATCTTATTTTTTTTGGTTTACGGTGTGACGATAACAGAGTGCAGACCAATTTCGTTTCTTCATGTCTTGTATCCGACTTTGGCCCAGTAAAATTCCCGATTTTCATTCACCGAACTTTTCTGCAAGTGAAAGGCGTTACTTAATGAAGAGAGTTGAGTGGCATGAGCCTAGGTGTGCACAAATGGTCGCAGTCGTAGAACGACAGCCTGTAATTGTACCTCATGGATCATACCTCTGCCATTTGTAACTAACGGTAGTACTCGTGGCAAAAGAATGAGGTCGAAGCCTTGGTGTCGTAGTGTCATAGGTCTATTAACTCCCGATCCAATGACTTTTCCCCCTTTCATTTGCTTCCTCTTCAGTTTAATATTAAATGTCAAACTACTGCAGCGAATATTTGTGCAGTTTTCTGCTTCCAGAAGCCACTGTACTTTGCTATATGCCGATTCGTTGACCCACGATGTTCGGTATCGTCTTGCAGGTTCTGACATTACGAACAATTCGCAAATATTGAGTAGCACTTCCAACAAAACAATAACGTGTACTGAAGTCCATGGCCGGTGACTCGGTCAATGGTAGCATTAGTAACCAGTTAAAGGGCGTTTCCTAAGGATGATGACCTTATACAGCGCACTCAGTGCTGGGGATTACATCATTGCAGCCCGTGGCACACAACGTCATCGTGACTACGTCGGTTTCTCTGATTTTAGGTTCTCAACAGTCAATCAAACTTCCATAGAATTCTTTTCCTCATTTTACGTGGTAACTTCGCTGCAACTGTTTACTTGTGACCCACGAACGCAAAAATGTCTGCCTCGAAGTACTTTGCACTAAATCCGGCCAAGCGAGAAAGACTCCTCCGCGAGGTGATCCAAATGCAAGAACCCGCCAGCCTTCCTCTCGGCAAGCAACATGTACATCCTCGCGGAATCTCTACGGGCGATGAGGACGCGAGTGTATCGTTTGTTGGAACTGCGACGACAATCCTTGAATGGCAGGGCATCCGCATCCTCACGGATCCAAACTTTCTCCACGCTGGCGACCACGTTCATCTGGGACCTGGCGTCACTGCTGAGCGGAAGACCAATCCCGCTATCAACCTCGAAGAGCTCCCACCTCTGGATGTAATCCTTCTATCACATTACCACGAGGATCATTTCGATCGCATGGTAGAAGACTCACTCAATCGCAACTTTCCCATCATCACAACCCCGCATGCGAAGAGTTGTCTAACCTCTTCTTCGGAGAAGAATGAACCATTTAAGAATGTTTTGGATCTCGACTTCTTTCAAGACCTTCAACTCGACATTACGCGCTCCGCTTCGGAGTCACAGGACAAGCATCCAGCTATCAAGGTAACGGGCATGCCAGGCAAGCATGTCCCGCCTGGACCTTTGTCCACTGCGAACGACTTCTTGCAAGCTGTGCCCCCAACGAATGGCTGGATGTTGGAATTGGGTTACTGTCCCAGTCTCGGCTCACAAGCCAACTCTGCAGCATTTAAGGCGGGCTATCGGGTTTACATATCTGGCGACACGCTGATGGTCGACGACTTGAAGAAGATCCCTGAGTGGCTCAACAACGAGCGCATCGACCTGATGTTGGTTCATCTTGGGGGAACTACGATTCCTGGCCCTTCAATTCCGCTGCTGATGGTTACTATGGATGCAAAGCAGGGGATGCAGCTCATAAAACTGGTTGACCCCGATGTCACAATTCCTATTCATTATGATGACTACGATGTATTCTTGTCGCCATTGGAGGACTTCAAAAGGACGGTTAATGCAGAGGGAAAGAAAGACAGAGTTGTGTACTTGGATCGCGGGGAGCATTATCGATTCAGAGTTAGAGATGAAAGCAACTAAACAAATAGTACGACAAGACGTGAGTATTTCATGTCAAAGATGCGTTCATCTGTATACAATCAAAATGTTTTGGATTCATGATCGTCAACTTCCATTAGCCGTCGTCAGTGACCTGTACCCACTGTTGGCTAGCTTCTCATCAACACTGGCAGTGAGATGAACATCATCCCTATTCATCGGTTCAGGGCACTCGACCAGAACTACCCCTGGTTTGTCTTTTGGTTTGTTGTCAATAGTAAACTGACTCTCCTGCCTTCAACTTACAATCTAGAAAGTAATTGGGCTTAAAGGAAATGTTCGTGCTACCAGCTATGATTTCCCAGCACTCTAACAATTAGAATACATCGAAAATATCACCTCTTACTCCTCGTATCTTTGTACCACCCCGTCTGCTTTCATATTTCTCTTAAGCCTAGTCTAACCATTCTAGGGCTTCTTTTACAGATGCGTTCGTGTCAAAGTGTATCATGACAATATCAGGTCTAATTTTTCGAAGCCATCTCTCAAGTCTACTGTCCTGTGGAGTATTTGGTGCAAGAGGCCGCCGTGACCATCATTGTCACCATCAAAGTCGAAGCCACTGTCAGTCGCGACCAGGGTTGCAATAAACTAGTGTGTGTAATCTTGCTCTTTATGTGTCCCGCACAGCAACGTACGGTAATACCATTGGGTTATCCTTAGGATTCGCAACTGTAGCAGCTTGAAGGTGCATACGAGAAACAAGATTTGCGGATGACAGGCTGGACGATCAGCAACCGAACTTCCCAATGCCAAACTCAGACCTTTCCTATATCTCAGATAGGCATGTCAAATTGCACATCAGTGCAAACAGCACAACGTGACAGGGTATTGGCATAGCTCAAAGAATTACTAGGAGGAAGCTGGTTACGGCCCTCACTCTTGCGTTCATATTCTTCAACCTTTTAGCAACCCAGCAATGCAAATAGATTACTACTTGGTGTTATCGACATAGCAAATGATGGTTGCAGTTGCTAATCTTCTACCGTGCGGTCTTCCATAACTTGTTGCCACTGTGCGACTGTGCACGCCTTCATGTCCTTTGAAGGCCGATGAAACTACACGTTTGCTCCCCCGAGACAAAATATTGTTGGACGATGATCACTAATGGGGCTAATGTGCTATCTGGGCTATTTATATTCGGAATAGTACTATGGCAAAGAGGCGGCTGCTGGCACCTGATACATCAAGTATGCCTGTTCACCAACTCATATCTGTCTGACTCGAACAATCCTCTGTACTTGCAAAGCTGAAGCAAAAAGCAACAAATCACCCGCCAATCGCCTTGAAATGAAGCACAAAACCAGGTATTGACAGTCGCTACTACCGTTTAAATGGTAAATCCATCGTCGTGCGTCTGGCCCGAGCTCAGCTGGTCTCCCGATTGCGAGTAGATCAGATCCTAGTCCGGGCGCAGTGCGTGAAACTTCTTGCCATATTTTCTCGATCTCGTACTGGTCGGTCAGGGAACCGTCTCCTAGGCGTCAGTTGATTGAGTTTGAATGTTAGACATAGACGACAACTTACACTCCTCAAAAAGACAGGGCTTGTTTGCCTTGGCGCAAGCCTCACCAATCGATTTGATTCAGCCAGGTGATCATTTCTTCAAATCACCATTCCCTCGTACAACCGATCAGCCTAACTAACTCCTGTAGACCGGTATTTACAACGGTTCGGTTACATGTGGAAAGTACCGAAGTCAAGTGTCTTGATGCCGAGATTCTTAACAAAGTCCGTGGGATGACCAACCTCATGCCTTTCTTTTCCGTAGCTGCAACAACTGCATCAAGGCACTAGAGCCCATTGGCAGGCGTATTGATCTAAGGCCCGAAAGAAGAAAGGTACTGGTACCAGACCTGGTTTCTGCTGGGAATGGTGTTGACGTCGTTGAAGCCCCACACGCGGAAGATCTTGAATTCGGAATCGCGACATTGTTCATGACGAGGTCAATATCACCATTGTTTGTCAGGAAAGATATCCAGTATGAGTTGATGCTGGCAGAGTACTTGGAATGACCATCAATGGTGAACTTTGTTCCACTTGTCGATGGGAGGTGTGCAACCTGCTTGGAATCCGCAGCGGCTAGGCATCGAACGAGGGCAAAGTCGGCCAAGATCGACAGGAGTGAAAGCTTCATGGTCCACAAGCGTTTTAGTTTCCATGCTAGGGAGAAAATATGAGACGAAGGAGAGCTCCGTCGGCCCTTTCGAAACCGTTTACATCCATACCACAAAGAGCCGGTCACTGGACACAAACGTTATGTCTGTGAAATTGAAACCCATGAAGCCAAGTTGAGCCCACCGGCACTTCATTTGAAAGACCAGGAGCCGTACTATAGTAGACTTTTAGATGTTCCGGAAAGTGATCGGCTGGTCGCCTGAGCATTTCTCCATGTTTTTAGGCTGCCGAGGCTTTACAAGACTGATCTGGCCGCAGAGGGATGATTGCCGTGGAGTCTTTTTTGGTGGTTTTTTTTGGTAGTAACGTGGGGTCAAGGGTAGGCTATCTTCGGCCGCTTTGTCGCAACAAAGTGTCGTGAGTCTAGCGAATGCTTCAGGGTCCAGAGTAAATCTTCAGCCGATCGTCCGGCGCCGGTGTAGCCCAACTCGACATGCAACGTGAGATGCAAAACTTTATCGAGAAAACTCGCTGTTGTAAAGGCCGTTGAAAAGAACGAACAAGATTGGTGAGGCTGAGATAACGTTGTTCTGGATTTCTTCAGGATGTGGTCTCTTGCGGACTAGAACATCAAATATGAGTCCTACTGGTCTTAGATAGTATTCCACAGTGTTCAAGGCTCCTACACAAGAAAGTAGATAGCTGTATCCTTTTCGAAAGATTGCGCATTGCATCAGCGATTTGGTACGACTGACGGATACGATATGTCAGTATTGTTTGCTACATGTACATCCGTCTTGTCATGCTCTAATGAGACAACCGATAGTAGTAATGGCAAGGTTCGACACTTTGTGTTCGAAAAGAAAGAGTATATACGCTGAACGGAAACAAGTCGGGAAAAGGACTGGCCAAACTTTTAGGTTACGTTCTGGACGATTTCTCCATATGTTTGGGAAATGTAAATCATAAAAACATAGCGCAACTGTGTATCTTATGAGTACTGCCTTTTATTCAATTCTAGGAATCTTGCCGTGTGGCAAACAGTCGTTGCGGTTAAAGAGCATGTTACCTAACATACGAAAGACGACTGCAGTTTCTTGGACTGACCAAGTAGTCTGCATTTCGAAAAGTGCAGACAATGCCATAATGTTTAGTGTCAAATTATCCTAGTATTTAGAAACCCCAAGTGACAGAAGAGCACCGTTGGGCGCTTCTCGATTCCATATCCAAATTCTCAAAAAATTTAAGATCTCTATGCTTCATTTTGTACCTGGCTACTGACGTCATGACCCCAGGTGCTGTAATGTTGTACAATGACGCTAGCTTCATACAGAAACGACTCGAGCATTCAAGAAGGGCGGCGATGTTCAAATACAGAGCCTAACCATTGAGATCTTAACCATGTCTTCACTAAGATTTTTAACTTTAACTCCTACCCACACCAGAAACAAGCTTATGAAACCTCAATGTTGATCTGTGACCACAAGCTTCAATCTAGCCCCGCTGTGGAAACCTGACCCACTGGTTTAGAGCCTGATTCGGGGTAAAGAGACTTCAAGACTACGTACTTCAGGCGAATGCAGTATGAAAGTATCTTATCTGGTCTAAGTCTTGAGATGTAGTTGTCCTTTTAAATGGCGTAGGAAGATATGCCAGCATGGCTTTTGTGGCGGTCTAACTGTGAGGACAGATATAGTTTGGAATAGAGGTACGTGTATCTTTTCTGTTACATATCGGAAAGATTACATGCCGCCCAACTCACCAAGGGTATGGCTTCTAGTAGTCGAAACATTCAGATTTCGCTTGCGTTATGGAACACTACAATCGAGTCGACTCTGACAGCTAACGCCACAGATCTCTAAAGATACGCTTTCCTTTGGATCAATATCGCAAAAAAGAGGCTGAGGTCAGCAGCTAGCCCCAGGAATAATATTAAATGCAACATTCTTTCTTACCTGTGTGTAATTTGATATCAAGTGTGTATGTCTTCGCGCTTAAAGTGAGAGCTCGCAAGCTCTTTAGATATACTGATGCTTCGGTTAATTTGTAAAACTAACTTCATCAAAGTAAGGGGCATTACCCAGGGCAGTCCGAGGTTCTGGCGTGAGATAAGAAAACATAATATAAACCCGTTCGGTGGCAAATCATGGCCCTAAAGGCAAAAGCACTTACATATTGTACCCAGTGGTGAACAATGCTCCAAGGCAAGAGGTTTCTGCATCTATGTGCAGCATTGAATTTTGCTTGACTATTCCTCTAAGTCCTGTCTCAAGAATCATCCAGTCCGAAATCCACCTAGTAGTTCTAGGCTAGGCAGAGCGTAATTACGGCATAATCCCATCGGCTCGTAGAATTATCTCACTGGGCTGCCTGAGAGCACAAGTTCTGTTAAGTCTTATCGCGGAAGATTTGGTTTGATCTTATGCTCAGTCACCTCGATAACCGACTGGATGGGTCTAGCATCTACTCGCTACTACCTGTATGGTAGCAACTCATGCATACGCATTAAGAGATGGCCAAGCTGCCTTTGAGTTACTTGCGGTCCCCTACAGTAGATTCCAAATCACCACGAGCCTATTTCTTGTGAGGCGCAAGCAAAAGCTAAATAGCCAGTCAATGTTACGTGGCATACATTGAACTCCCGTAGGTTCCCGGCAGTCACATCTTGCTCCTGTTACCATCACGCCTCTCTATCCGATCGGCATTACGGCCGCTGCGTGAATGTCCAGACGATTTTGGCGGCAAGATTCTATAGGCGAACGAGGCAGTGCGCAACCGCAAACTTCGTGTGTCGCCGAAAGTAATGCGTAGCGCATCCCAGGTGATTGGGTATGGATGATGTCTCAATTATGTCCTCATTATCGGCAAATGAGGGGATTTACAAACTTGCAAGTCGGAACCCACGGTCTTGACGGGCGCATTTCTACGCCTGACGATCCCGCAGCTGGGCGATGCTGAACTCTGCATCGCAGATCTCGCTTTCGATCGTTGGGTCATAACTTAAAGATTGGCGATTGAAAACCTACGCACTGAAAGGTAACGGTCCAGAGGTTCTTGGCACAGTAAACTCTCAGCGAATGTTACGACGACTTACATGCTCCTGAATGTTGATTGGTGTCTCCCTCCACCTCGCAACGGGAGATGTACGTGGCCCGCGGAGATCAGACCCGCGCCTGCTGCCATTTCCAGCTAGTCGGGTTTGCTTCGAGTCTAAATCTGCTGAAACCTTGCTGGCGATTCAATTGCAGGGTCTGTCGGTCTGGTGTTTGAATCAGCAGGTACACTCTGCGGAAAGAATAAGCGCTGTCATCCTGAACGACGTGCGGACGGACATTTCGGATTCGCTACCGAAGGCCGGCCGTTGCCTCACTTTTGCGCATGAACTCAAGCTTTTTCATCCAATGCTATCCGGAACACACCTAATCTGAAGGTATACAAGCCAAACACACGGACTGGACAACATGGAGGCCGCCGCCAAGACTACAGTCAACGAACACCACGCCAGCGAGCCATACTCATGCCTTTAGCCTAGGACGGACGGGCAGCCTCGTTTTCGGTCATCAGCCTGGATGGCGGAGATCGAATTGCAGGACGACAATGTACCTGGATTGAATCCGTCTCAGACCACCAACTTAACTTTATCGACCCGGTTAGACTTGTTCGCTAGTATAACAAACAACTGCCTGGCCTAGTAAAGATGATTATAAAGATGAGCTTCATTCACGGTAAAGCTCAAGTATTAAAGGCTCGGTGCATTCCCGTCTCACCTACTTTCTCCTGGCAAGTCGGGTTGTGGGCTACCACAGGATAAAACTTCTGTTCTGTCCGCCGTCCACCCATTTGATCGAAATTTCCGTTCGCCATGCCCTCTTTCAAAGTTCTATTGGTATCCACTCTCGTCTCTGGCATACTTGCCGCTCCTCTCGTTGCTCGCTTCGAGAGTGGCGCGAGCGCTGCTGTTTTTGATGAGAATCCACGTACCTCTCTCGAAACTCGTGCGGAAGGCGGTGCCGAGGAACTCGTCGATATTTTGCCTCGTGGCATCGAGGCCAGCAAAGACTTTGCTGACATCAACATCCACAAGGAAGAGGCTGATCAGGACTTCAGCAATGGTCTGTACATTCGGGACACTGAGACCTCTCAAAACAAACAAAGTTTCGATGCCCGGGATTTGAAGGAGGTCAGCGAAGTCTACTCCGCCTACCAATCTCGCGAGATTGAGGCCAATGAGGAAGTCAACGATATTGAGACCCGCAACTTGGAGACCAGTGAGGACTTTATGAGCATTCAGAGTCGTGACGAAAACCGAGACAAGTCCCGTGTCGACAAGGAGAAGAAGGAGATCCAGGAAATCCAGACTTCGCAGAGGGATCAACAGAAGACTTCCAAACAGAGAGAGGACACCCAACGCGCGGCTATTGATGTAACTCGCCAGGAACAGAAAGAAGCCACCAACTCCCAACAAGAGGAGAGGGCCAAAGCCGAAAAGACTCGAATGCAGAACGACCTGAATGAGATGAAGAAAGACGATCAAGCAGCCAAAGCTCGCCTTCAACGTGAAAAGGAAAAGGAGAAGGAGGAGTTGGAAGAAGCAAAGCGGGCACAGAGGGTCAATAGCCGGGTTGTAGATGCCCTGATTCGAGGCCCCTTGGAAGCTACAAGATTCCCACAAAACAGTCGGAAACCTACGACAAGGACTTTGCGTACAAGAAACCCGAGGTTCAATCAAAGAACTACGACGATGATTATGCGAGGCAGAGGGCCGACGTGCTGGCACAATATCGCATAGCTTACTACAATAAGAACACCTGCGGCGATAGGATTCAATACTTGCAGGTGGAACGACAGCGGCAGCTCGACATAATCAGCCAAGCTGAATATGACAAGCAGCAGAGTAAGGCGCGTGTCATCGACCTTCAGCAACAGAAGATTTATAGTAACGACAAGAACGCAATCGACGACCAAATCCGGGCAGAGGAGTGGCGGCAACAAGATGCAGACCGCAGGATTATCGAAGCACAAAACACCAAACAATATCAAGACCAGTTAATCAAGGCGGACGAGCAATGTCGCGCGCAGGAGGATGCACTGATCAGGGGCTACCAGGACAAGAAGAATAGGGAGGATGAACTGATTCGCGAGCAAGAGCGTCAGAGGGAACGCGATCGCTTGCGTGACAAAGACGCCGAAAACAGGCGTCTCGCCAAGGAGGCCGAGGACAGACGCCTCGCACTTGAGCGCGAAAAGGAACGTGATCGCCTGCGTGATAAAGACGCAGAGAACAGGCGTCTCGCCAAGGAGGCCGATGACAGACGCCTCGCGCTTGAGCGCGAAAAGGAACGTGATCGCCTGCGTGATAAAGACGCAGAGAACAGGCGTCTCGCCAAGGAGGCCGAGCAAAGACGACTCGAGGAACAGAGACGCAAGGAACTGGATCGTCAGCGTGACAAAGACGCAGAGAACAGGCGTCTCGCCAAGGAGGCCGAGCAAAGACGCCTTGAGGAACAGAGACGCAAGGATTTGGATCGTCAAAGGGACAGAGACGCCCAAAAGAAGCAGGAGGAACAGAGACGCAAGGAATTGGAGCGTCAAAGGGACAAACAGCGCGATCAGGAGGAACAGAGACGCAAGGAATTGGAGCGTCAAAGGGACAGAGACGCCCAAAAGAAGCAGGAGGAACAGAGACGCAAGGAATTGGATCGTCAAAGGGACAAACAGCGCGATCAGGAGGAACAGAGACGCAAGGAATTGGAGCGTCAAAGGGACAAGCAGCGCAATCAGGAGGAACAGAGACGCAAGGAACAGGCACGTGAACGTGATAAGCAGCGCAATCAGGAGGAACAGAGACGCAAGGAACAGGAGCGTCAAAGAAATAATGAACGGAAGAAGAAACCTGGTAAATGAGGTTATGGAGCATGTTCCAGGGCTTCAGCTCTATGATGGTATGAATGACATTGACTTGAGTGTTTGGTGTTTGGTGTCTGACGTCTAAGTTTTATTGTCATTTGAACCTTTGGTCAGTTGATAGTCCTGATAGTGAGGTCAAAAGTGATGTTTGCTCATAACATTGAACAGTGACCTACTGATGCATCTGTGAGGGCGAATGTCATTAAGAAATCACTGTCTGAAAATGAACAACAAGAATGAGAGGCGAATTTGAACCGCAAATATCATTCCATGCAATCGCTATGATTGCTGGTCAACACACGAGATACGCCGCTTTTCATTCTCTAGCAGATCGAGGAGTGCCCCCTCTGGCACATCATCGTGGTCCATAAAAACCTCCACCATTCGAAGCCCTGTTCCATTCAACAGCATATCCTCATTGAACACCTCCTCTAGTTCTCCCCAATTTCTTGCCAATCGGACGAACGTCTCTGGGTTACCTCCAAAAAAGGTGGGTGCCTGTAGATAATGCCAACGCGCAACATCGTTGTATGGCTGCTTTAAGCCATGAATACATCGCTCAATGGTGTACCCGTCGTTGTTGACGAGGAATATGATCACGTCCAAGTTGTGACGAATCATGGTTGAGACCTCTTGAGCAGTCATTTGAAAGCTACCATCGCCGATGAAAAGGATCGTGTGTGCGTCCTTGATATTGTGGTACTGGTCCGATTGAATGAGTTCCCGTTGAGCCAGAGCAGCGCCTTGCGCAGCTGGCAACATATATCCAATGGAGAGCCAAGTAGCTGGGGTAAACAGTCTGGTATGGGCTGGCAGAGGCAACACTCGACAGCCATGACCAGAAGTGCCAGTCTCTCCAAGGATAACGTCTCCAGGGCGGATGATATTGGCTACGAGGCGCCAGAACTTGGAGTGACTTATTTTCTCCTCTCCTGAAACTTGCGAGAACTTGAGTTCATGATCTCGGGGGAGGTCTGGGTAAGATGTGTACTGATATGGTTTAAAAACATCCAGTTCCTGAAGTAGTGAAGTGACTACGCTCTTGGCAACCACGTCACGGAACACCTGTTCGGCCACCTTCACTTGTTTGTCATAAAAGAGCACTGAGACGTCTGTCTTTGGAATGCTCGAGAAGGCAGATGTATTTGTCGAGCTGAAGTGGGGCCCGAAGCATAAGACAAGGTCTGCACTGTCGACGAATGTCCTTGCAGCTTCTGTAGCAAATTTGCCTGAGTATACGCCATGGACATTCGGCAGAGTCTCATCAATCAAAGACTTCCCAAAACCACTGGTCCAAGTAGGCCAACCTGTGATTTTGACCAATTGGTGCACCTCGTCAATAATCCCAAGAGACCTTGTCTCCCCGTCGACGAGAATCATTGGCTGTTTCGCTTTGCGTATCTTATCCAGGATCGTTGCCACGGCGGCCTGGGTTGCTGCAGTTACCACGTGGTCTGGACTCCGGATAGGAGACTGTAACTTATAGGCCGGGACGGGAACAGCCACCAGGTCCTGGGGAAGTTCGATATAGACAGGCCGGCTTTGAATTAGGCACTGCTTCAACACCTCGTCAATTTGGTCTGGTGCCGACAGTGCATCTCTTAAGTCCGCCTGCGCCACGGTAACGTGGGCGTGCATTTGCGCAAACCGCCTGTAATCCCCATCGTTGAAACCGTGGTGCAGCATGAGCCGGGCCTCTTGTATGGCTCTCGAGGGTGTGCCGACGATGTGAACGACTGCTGCACGTTCAGCGTATGCACCGGCAATAGCGTTGATAGCCGAGAGCTCGCCGACGCCAGAAGTCGTGATAAGCGCCCCGACGCCCTTGATGCGAGCATAGCCGTCTGCTGCGTATCCCGCATTGAGCTCGTTAGTATTTCCGACCCATAGTAGTCCCGCGGGCTTGACGTAGTCGAGGAGATGCAGGTTGAAGTCGCCCGGTACACCGTGAATTGCACCTATGCCGAGCTGGTGTAAGCGGGTGAAGAGGTACTCCGCCAGTTTCACTGTGGATGAAATGCCGTCATGAGATTGAGCCATTGTGAGGTGTGGACTAGTTTGGATGCACATAAGAATGAACACTAGTTCTGGGGACGACGAGAACTCTCAAGACTCAGGGAGCAGATTGGGGTTGTCGTTGGCTTTTGTGACTTCCCCTCATCTTAGACCGAGAATCACGGGTGTGTATGACACGCCAACATTTGTGGGGCTCCTGTCCTGTTCACTAGATACACCCACGGCATGCATCGGTACATTTGCTAATCCTTTTTTCTGCATTTATGCTGACATGGACACATTTTAGTCGACTCACACAAAGAAACAAAAACAGTCTAGAATCTGAAGTGAGTCCCAGTGAAGCACTCGAGGTCTTCCGATTGGGTGAACTTTTGGAGTACTGAAGCAACCAAAGTATCGATGTCATAATACTCCTCCAGCATAATAACGCGCATTTCATAAACAAGCCGAAACTCATTTCCTGTCTAGTTACACTAATTCGAAGCCTGCCAGCTATCGAGACCCAAAACGGCCGCAACGACCTGCAAAAGGCACCGAATTTGATTAATATTGGTACAGGTTGAACCGAACCTTGAGCACTTTCGCATAAAACTCGTTGTTGGTAGAAGTCGTGAACTTTGTGATACGTTTGGCCAGATAGCAAGATCGTATTCATTCCCTGCAATATGGGAGACAAGGCCGTCAGTCTCATACCGAACTCGAACTACAGTGAGGCGGCAATCCTCTGAACTGGTTGGTAATGTCACCGAGGACATCAAATTGAGTTACATCCTCCTTTGTGCCAACTGGCAGACTTGCTTGACATGTGACATGTTGGTCGTTGTGTTTGTGCAACTCTACATTCCACTATGCCAGCAACGAGCCATGACCCGTCCTGCTGGCTTCGGTTTGACTTATTTTCCTACCAATAGTTCAGGATTAGGTATCCGATGCTTCAGCAAAATGGAGTCGACAACGATTCACAGCGGAATCGCTGATGGGGGAATCGACCTCTTTGAGAGATTCTGTAAGCGACACATGCGCGCGAAATAAAGGAAGAACTGGAGAGAGAAAATCCGGGACGTGAAGGTGATCTATCTTGGAGGAAGGCGGAGATGACGACGTTGTATTAAATGTGTTCGTGATAGTCAAGCGCAAACATCGCATCCGCCAAGTCACTCCATTGTATTCATAACAGGTAGCCTGTAAACAAGAACAAGGATGAGCTTGAATCAACGAATATCACGGAATGGGAGATGGCATGAGAACACTCTTAGGGTTTCCGCGTAATCTCGTACGCGCTCACTCGGGTGACAAAAATCAGCCCCGGGATTTGTATGTAAGGATATAGAAAAGCGGCGCTGGTTTTTGTCACCCGAATGGCGCTGTATTTGCCATGACGGTCCAAATTGTCTGGACATGATTTGGGTGAATCGCCCCGTCAGAGAGGTTCAAATCACTCCCCACCAGAAGTCGACTAAATTAGTACAAGAACATACTTCGGTGGGGCTCCCTACCTCGGAGAACAGATTTGCGCTTCAGGCGGCGATAATGTTGGCGATGCTACAGAGCTACACGATCAGGGAGCGTCTGTTGCAGTTTAATCTCGAGACACCGAACATCACAATGTCCTTAAAGCGGTGAGTTCAAAACCAGGATGCACGCCAGTGTGCACAAGAATAACACAACAGTCGGCTGGACGCTCTCCGGAAGTGACCAAGGGCAAGCCGCACAATAGTCGCAGACGGTATGAGAGATTTGCTATCTGGGGTGGGCGGTTCAGTCGATCGAGACCCGCATCGCGAGAGCTAGTTCTGATGTGCGGTATGCGTGGCCGCAAACGCGTGGGTTTCTTCTCCCAGTCCTGTGTCTATCCTCATCTTACCAGTTGGTTGCTTAAGTTGCATCTCGCGGTCAAAGAGTGCCTTAACTCTGAGGGATCGACGGATGCGCGAATTTACTACGTACTATGTACATACATAGTATCTTAGCCCGCAACTGTCAAGATTACCAAAAGGTGATACTCAGATTAAACTGTTGGAACCACCGAGCATTGATGGTAAAGGTTCGAGCTAGGAGATTCTGGAACCGGTCGCAACCGAAAAGTATATAACCTAGGTAGGGACGGCAGTCAACGACTGAAAAAATCGGATTACTCGACAGTGCTCCAGACTCTTCTCGAAACTTCTCATCCAGTTATATGCCGCTCTGAGCCCATCCGCTTTCATTGACTGGGTGGAGTGGACGAGAAACAAAAATAAACATCAAGGTTGTTGTTGTCAGGTTGGCAACTGGGTACGTGGGATGAAGTGGAAACCAGTCTCCATAGAAATCCCATATTTCGTCCTAACATGAACGACTCGGGCAGGAGATCGTCCAAGCAAGGCCTTTTAGCCTGAGAAGGCAGTGATTGGCATCAGGCCACAGACCGGGGCCGCAAAAGTAAGGAGAACAACATTTTCATCAGCCGCGCAGCTAGGAATGGGTTGCACCGAAAACATCCAGCTATTCTCTACCATACTATTTTTTCCTCGGGGCACCTACGTGTAGTAGGGGCCTTTAAAAAGGCAGCGCGATGACGATCGCGTGTGTTCTAGCAGCAAGCGCACCAGTCACGGGCAATTCGCCTCTAAGCTATGCGTCAGCCGAGCGCTTGAAGGCCGAATGGAGGTGCTAGAGATTGACCGGAAAAGCACTGCTGGAAAGCTTTTTGGCAGATGTGCAGTCTAGGTAGCCTTGGCTCAGTTATTAATAGTTAAGCTTTGTTGGCGGTACCTATCGAGGGCGACGCTGAGCAGCGTCAGTTTCGGATAGAAAGACCCTTGACTGTTGAACGGAGAAAATGGCCAACTTTCCGAGCTTAGCGGCTTGACCAAGTTGCCTCTCCGGCCGATTAGCGCTTTTTTTTCTTATGTAAAAGACTACATGTACATACGGTATCCCTATGGCAAGGCACTTCGGTTGCCTCCCCGGCGCTCCCAAGCTCTGTACTTGGGCCCGAGGGACATGAATGCTACGTTGCCCCCTTACCGCAGTAGGTACCGGTAGTCTGGCGTTTGCCTCCCGGGGGTCACCCTTGGGGCACATGCAGGGAGAACAACGGGTAGCGGCTCTTGTCTGCATCGGAATAGGGGATGTGGGACTATGGTCGTTTGGATGTGACATCACCGCCCACTTCTGCCATCTGTTAAGACACTCGGCGGCGTGTGCTGGCTGGCGCCTTATCACATGAGCCGATATTGACAACGTTCTGTACGGTACCGTGGCTGGGGTGCAGGTCGGGGTTGAGCGATTCAGGGTTGCTAGGTAATAGGTAGTTCATAGCCACCCAGCTGAGCCAGCCCAGCCTCTCCTTTTGCATCTTTGTTTTTCGTCCAATTCATCCAATCGACTAACGGTTCATCCTTCACCCATGACCGTTCTCTGTGCTAAATAGAGAACTGAACCAATCGGCGCTCTCGCGCGTTCCGTTTTCCGAGGCTGCCGGTGGATCGTGGGACGGGACTTTTGCCTTTCCAATAACCCCACCCTTTTTATCCGTCACAGGCTGGATAAAGGTTGACCAAATTTTCGGGGCCAACGGCGTTCGCGGATGGCGCAGACGGTAGACGGCAATGCTAGAGAAGACGGCACGCCCATCGCCAAGCTTTAGGCGGCCCAAGAGCAATGCCCACCTGCCTCCCTTTTTTGGGGCTCCTCTCGTATTTGTCCGTTCCCCATCGAAACCACAAAAGAAGGGCTCCATGATGTCAATCGGCTCCGCTGCGCATCCCTGGCCGGCATTACGAGAAGATATTCGGCTGGCGGTGCATCCTCACCTACCTTGGAGCCCTGGGAGACCTGACAACTAGCGCAACCTCGTCCCTGCACCCCGTGATTACGAGATGATCGCTGACGGGTCCCTGAGAAGCTTTGGTGGCACCGCAGCAACCGGTATTGCCATCGTCACCTCGATATATAAGGGGATGGACAGAACCGCCATAGTTGCCCATCTTGAAATTCTCACCTTATCACACTCACCAGTTTGCCGACTCTACCGAAAGTAATCAACCGACCGCATCAGTTTTTATACCCAAAACACCAGACCGTCTTAAAAATGCAGTTCGCCAACACCCTCGCCGTCGCGGCCTCCTTCGTCGCTGCCGTCTCCGGCGCCACCCTCCCCTCCCACATCTACAGCCGCCAGAACGGCACCACCAACAGCACCGCTCCCGCTACTTCCAGCTGATGGCTCTCCGCTCCGCCAGTCCCGTGCACTTCTCCCCCTTCCAGGCCGCCAAGAGCAGCATCTTCCTCCAGCTCCCCAGCCAGAACGCGAGCTGCGACGACAGTGAGCCCAAGGACGCCGCCACCTTCTACCTCGACAACGACGGCGGCCTTTTCCTTTACGCCGCCTCCGCCACGCCCCAGCAACTCTACGCCGACCGCTCCGGCATGGGCCAGGGCAAGCTTGGCTACACCACCGGCGCCCAGCCCGCGCCCCGCAACGGCGAGCGCACCGGCTTCACCATTGACCGGTACGGCGACCTTACCCTCAAGGGTTCCAGCTTCGTCGCCTGCCCCGACAGCATCGAGGGCTCGTGGTCCGTCTGGGTCAGCGCTGGCATTGCCAACCCCGCCGGCAACACCGGTTGCCTCGGCGTCTCTGCCCGCGCTGTCGAGGTTGCTCAGCCCGACAGCTGCACATACACCCAATAAGCGGTGTCTTCACCTCAACAAACAACTCTCTTTTCGAATTGGCATTGGTTTAAAAAAAGGCATTGGGACAACCCTGAGATATCCATAGAATGGCGAACTTTTGTATTTTTGGGCCTAGCATCGCCGTTACGGCTATCCCGTTAACTGGCACCTGTACATCGTAGCTACTGAGGGTCCACCTCTCTGTACATGAATTAATGTGTCACCGTTTTACGCACCACTTTTCTAACGACGTCTTCGCTCGTGACGGCCACCGTGCCTTTGGCATTGCGATGCTCAAGTCTTGCTCAATTGTGTGTATTTCTCGGACGTAGCCGGCAGTGGATCTATCATCCCGGTCAGCTGCACCCAAGCCCAGTTGGTTGCTATTGTTAGCGATGCGTCGGTGATCCCTGGCATCGGAATCAGACGTATCTCCAGGAATGCACTGAATAATTTGGACAATGTCTTACAGGTGGTGGAAGGTGCAGTGACTCGTCACGGCGGACCGTTGCGCAAGTTCAACGACGATCAAAGTTGGATTGATAATTTAGGTAGGCGAAGAGAATCAAACCTAACCTCTGCTCCCATCTACCCCTCGACCGCGGCGATGCCCTCCTTATCCCCTCCAGTTTCGCCTTGTTGAATTCTGGATCGTTGGTCGGCAGCTCCAGGTGCCATTTTGAGATCTGGGCTGCGCTAATCTCGACCTCGCCGTCCGTCCCAAAGGACAGGATGTGTCCGCCCTGCGTGCGGTCTTCCGTGATAAAGTGCAAATGATCGCCGGCGACGCTAATGCCCATGGTGTACTCTGGCGACCGAAACCCGATGACAGTTCCCCGCACCGGCTCCTCAAAGGTGTGCGACGCCTGGTGCTTCCCGACCTCCATCAGCCCTCACCTGGCTTGCTCTGGCCGCCCGCCGTCCGCACCGTGATGCCTTTGAAGACGCCCTCGATCCGGATGGCAAGGAAGAAGTTTCTCGAGTCCGGGAAGTACTTGGACAGGTGCTCAAAGAGCTCCTTCTTGTCGCCGAAGGCAGCCTTGATCGTGGCTGTCGGCTGGAAGCGGGTGACCATGGCAAAGGGCGCGACGGCCTCAGAGGCGGGGCTCGTGTCGACGGGCGTCACGGTGTTGTCCGACTTCATCTGGTAGAGCTTGCCGTCGAGGATGATCATCTCGCCGACCATGTAGCGAAATGTGCCAAGGCCGTGGTTCCCGTGCGAGATGAGTTCCGAGACCGGCAGGCCCTTGGAGGCGACGCCGTCCATGAGGGCCGAGATGATGGAGTACTGGAACACCTCGTTGACCGCCATGATTGTAATGATAAGTGACCCCAGAATGGAGAAAGAGATGAACTGAGATGAGACGAGCTGAAGGCAGTGAAGTTCTGTTTGGCTTTTTGGGCGAAACGCGACAGTTGCTGACTGCAGTATTGGTTCTCGCGTTCCGGGACCCGACGGAAGGCCGCGGAAGCAAACACCGGAAGCCCATCGGCCGTCATCCATGGGAACTGCGTCTTGATTTGTTGAGTCATCAGCACACGCTTCGGTCCCACACGGTAACTTCGGGGGCGCTGACGTCAGTCGCACGGCATCATCGACATCACCGCCTCACAGTCCACCTCAACGCATCAGTAAGCGCACCCAGTCTATCGCTCTCACCCATATGTTAGAGAGCTTGCGGTACACTCAACTATCCGCCTCTAGCCAGTGCCGTATCGAGATATCGAAATTTCTGATAGCCATCGTGCTCATCCACGTTTTCTACCGGGTCCTTTCTATTCGACGGACACGTCCTACTTAAAAGTTTTGGGCCCAACTGTTTAATGATTGCATGATTCTTCTTCAGTACATGAATTAGCCTAACATCCATCCTGTTAATCGACACCCGCGAAGCCACACCACCAAAATGTCAACAGAAACAGTCGATGTCGTTATCGACTCTCTCGTCAACGCCGGCGTCACGCACATCTTCGGCGTCCCGGGTGCCAAGATCGACTCCGTTTTCAACGCCCTCATCGACCGTCCCGAGATCAAGCTCGTCGTCTGCCGCCATGAGCAGAACGCCGCTTTCATCGCTGGCGCCATCGGCAGGATCACAGGCAAGCCCGGCGTCTGCATAGCCACATCCGGTCCGGGGACCAGTAACCTCGTCACCGGCCTCGTGACCGCCAACGATGAGGGCGCCCGGTAGTCGCCCTCGTTGGCGACGTGAAGCGGGTCCAGGCAGCGAAGAAGACGCACCAAAGTCTGCGCGGCGTGCAGCTGCTCGAGCCCGTCACGAAGAAGACGACCGGCGCTGTGCATCCCGACCAAATTTCGGAAATTATGCTCGACGCCTTCAGGACCGCGGCGGCGTACCCCCAGGGTGCGACGGCCGTGAGCTTGCCCATCGACATCATGACAAAAGGAACCAAGACGTCGATCCCTGCGCTGCCGGCGACTGCATTCACCCCGCCCGAGTACGGCACATCTCCGTCCGCTTCCCTGAGCCGGGCGGCGTCCATGATTCAAAACGCAAAATTCCCTGTGCTGTTTCTTGGCACCAGAGCAGCTACCCCCGATGCCGTCCAGGCCGTCCAGGGATTTCTTCGAAAGCACCCGATTCCTGTCGTCGAGACGTTCCAAGCAGCTGGATCCATCAGTCAGGACCTGGCCCATCTCTTCTTCGGCCGCATCGGTCTCTTCCGCAACCAACCGGGCGACAAGCTACTTGCACAAGCAGACCTTGTCATTGTTGCGGGCTACGATCAGTCGGAGTACGACGCCGACGCGTGGCATAAGAGCCAGAGTCTCGAAATCCTCCACCTTGACTGGATCCCCGCCGACTACGGCGCCTTCTATAACCCTAAGCTTGAGCTTGTGGGTTCCATTGCCGCCAACGTCAAGGCCCTCAGCGACATTCTTGCCAACGTCTCTCGGCCGCAAGAGTTCGAGGTGGCAAAATCCATCTTCACTGAATTCCACGCTTGGGAGCAGAGTCCCCAGGCCCTCGGCCAGACCGGCGACGGCCCCATTCATCCTCTCTATTTCATCAAGCTGATGCAGGGCATGCTCCCTCCATCGCCGACCGTTTCGTCGGATGTGGGCAGCATGTACATTTGGCTCTCCCGCTTCTACTTCGCGTATAGCCCCAAGTCCTTCCTTGTCTCCAATGTCCAGCAAACCCTCGGTGTCGCCCTTCCCTGGGCCATCGGCGCATCGCTGTCCCAGGAGCCGCCGTGTTCACGGAAAGTCATCAGCATCAGCGGCGACGGTGGTTTCCTCTACAGCGGCCAGGAGCTAGTGACCGCCGTCCAGCAGGGGTGCAACATCACGCACTTCATCTGGAACGACGGAAAGTATAACATGGTCGAGTTTCAGGAGGTCGACAAGTACGGACGCAGCTCGGGTGTCGACCTGGGAGGGGTCGACTTCGTCAAGTACGCTGAGGCGTTTGGCGCCAAGGGTTTGCGTGTCAGTCGTTCGTCGGAACTGGAGGCTGTTATGAAGGAGGCACTGAGTTACAAGGGGGTGTGTGTGGTGGATGTCGAGATTGACTACTCGCACAACCACGAGCTCATGAGGAATGTCATCCAGGACAACATTAGTTAAATCTAATCAGATGATGAAAGGGAACTGGTCAAACGGCCATTTAACTGCCAAGCCTATAGTCTGTCTCGCCCGCGGCCCCCAAGCAAAGCTTACCTTTTTCTCTCACTTTTCACCTGGAAGACGCAATAAATTATTGCGTGGCCTGGCCCGTGACGAGGTACTATTGATTCATGGGCACCATGGCTCAACTCGAGTCTTTCGCTTAGTATCGACCGAAAATGTTTGTTTGCTTCATCATGACAGTTCACTGCTCGTTGTTTCCTCTTTCCTGCTCTTTTTGAAGACAAAGGGGCCCTGTGTGACTAGGTATAAGGCATTGAATGGGTGAATTAGTCGCGATGCATCGCATCCGAAGCTAATGACTCTGCGTTTGCGGGCACGCGAAAGAGTGCGGTACTTCCAGACCAATGTGGTCTACTTGGAATGATTGCCCGATTTGACTCGTCGTATCGAGCACACCAGAGTTAGACCACACAGGCCTTTGAACGCAGAGGTACTGCCGTTGCATGCCAAGCAACTCGGTACACCTCGAGCATTGAAAGCTACATGTTAGACAAGCTAGAATCCCACATTGACATTCGCCTAAGCAGCAGAGATCCCTTCAGCCCTACGTTTCCTCCCCAAGGATACTCAGATCCTCGAACCCGGGACGCACAGATAGCATTCCGGATATGCCCCCACAAACCCAACATGAACCAACCAACCCGCCTGCGAGTAAGACGAGGTCCGACTGTATCGGGTCGGGTGAGTGGGGTCTATCGTATCGCACGGCAAACGGGCCAGATGTTGAGCTAAACCCCAGACCCATCATCTACCTAGGTACATCGTACATGGGTATGTACTTCATCGTATCTGCCGGAAAGGGAGCATCGATCTTGACCCCTCTGGCGGAAGCATCAGTCTCGGGTCTTGGTGTCGCCCCCGTCCACCGGTGTGATTTATAAGCTAGAGCACCCCCATGTTTTGACTCCACTGGCGGGGTGGGCTCGTGCGGAAGAAAGGAGCATTTCCCCTCATGGCGGGACGAGGTAGATAATGCATCACGACATCGAATGTCCAATGGTGCAACTTGCTAACCTCACCGCAGTGAATTGGTAATCAACTGTTAAGTCCTGATTCATTCAAATAGCAATCTCCTTCTCAATCGCCAAAGCTCCAACACAACCAGAAAGAGAAACGGCCAAGCCCTCGAGTTTCAAGATAATCGACAGCCCTTCGCAGCTACAGAACCCAATCAATCCGTAACCCCTTCGCTATCCAGTGCCGCCATGTCTACCGCCGCCCCCAAGATCAAGCTGTACACTAACCACGGCTGCCCCTGTATGTGAGACCTAACACCAACCCATCACCGCACTCATCCCCGTCTCTGTTTGAGCCCACCTCCATGTAACGCCCTGGTGGCTACATGCACACGAACCAACTTGGCTCCAGAAGACGCCCGAAGATCGCCCGTTCTAACATCTGTCGCCCAGGGGCTCACCGTGCACACATCGCCCTCGCCGAGCTCGGCCTCCCTTTCGAAGAAGAGATCATCGACCTCTCTGTGCCCCGCACGCAGGAGTACCTTAAGATTAACCCGCGCGGCCTGGTTCCGTCGCTCATATACGACGGCGAGATTATCACCGAGTCTGCCATCGTCAGCCAGTTCCTCGCCGACGCGCACCCCTCGCACCTCCTTCCGGCCGCGGGCTCCAAGGACGCCGCCCTCCGCCGGGCGCGCATCAACTTTTTCGTCGATACGTACTTTAGCAAGGCCAATTCGCTGCTGTTCAAGATCCAGCTCGCCAAGTCCGATGCTGAGGCGCAAGAGATCGCGTCGAGCTATGTTGATATCATTGCAAAGGAAGTTGAGCCGCTGTTGAAGGACGCCGCGCCGTACTTCGGCGGGAGCGACAAGCCTACTCTGGCCGAGGTGAGTCGGGAGAGACTTACCCGCCGCGCAGCCATGGCACTTTTGCCCTGGTAGCGTATCCCAAGAGCCCCTGCTGACAGATAATCCGTTAGGTACTCAGCGGCTCCTTCACCCTGAGACTTTTCTCCTTCGCCAAGTATGACCTCATTCCGAAGAGCATCCTTAGCTCCTTGGAGCAGAAGGCCCCTAGCTTTTACAAGTGGGCACAGACGGTCAACAACACGCCTAGCGTGAACGGCATCTACGAGGAGGAGACGGTCGTCGAGCGGACGAAGCACAGGATTGCTGGCCTTAAGGCCTCTCAAGCTTGATGAATCCCCTCATGTCACTATAAGATAGCTTCCGCTGCAAGCCTTCCGGAAGTATAATCAATCTCATCTAGTTGGGCGTATACAATAACTTTCTCAATGTGGACTCACTTTGAGTTGATTGTCCCCAGTCAGATGAAAACTTTTGTTGAAGTTTACACTTTCACGGGTGGCAAGTGGCCGATCGCTGGACCTTACTCGCGAGAGTGGTGGTCAAGCATTGCTGCATCTGCCATGCCGATTTTGCTCGATTTGCAAGTGTATACAAACATCGGGCGTGACTAGAGCGGTAATAAAACCAACTCGGGGTATACTAGTGCCACCAGAAAGGCGGTTCTGACCAACGGGCCCCTGAACCTCCTTTGCGGTAGTGGACAAGTGATGTTGAGAATGGCATTAACGATAATAGGCTGGATGTCTTGCCACATTGCATATGCGCCTGCTTTTCAGTCACGTCTTTGCGGCTGAGACTACTGACAGACCGTTTGATCGGGTAGAACTCTGCGTCGATCATGAATACTGATTCCCTGTCCGCCTCATGGTCATCGCGATTGCCACAGGCGAAACAACACGTTGGGCATTAAAAGACCTGCCCTCCAGCGCTCTGGCCAGCCGTTGATAGTTTGTTTGTTAGCGCTGCTGCTCTTTCACTGGCAGTCCCGAGCAGCCAATGCTGGATCATCTACTATGAACAAGACAATGAAACATGTGCCCTATCACAGCCAAATGGCCGTTAGCCAAAGACCGAACCACACGAGGCAGAAATTTAGTCGCAATTGATTCAACAGATTTCCAAGCTCGAAGCCACAATCCTTTGGATGATCATTACGATGGTTAATCGCTTGACAAAGTTTAGAAAACTTCAAAGTTTTGGGAGTGGTTCACGGCTAACGCCGTTGCAAAAAGCACACCGGAATGCCTTTCGTCCGACAGAAGGTGCGAGTCAATCTGGTTTACCTCTGCAAAATTACATCGCCCTAGCGTCAGTCCAAACTGCACATACGTTGGTTGGCGCTCAAGATGTGCCGGCTTACCGGTGGGAGGCACATCATCATAAGCATCGGACCAGAATGCCGTTTTTGCTGGTTTGACTTTGCCCTTCCAAAAGGAAACAGGAGAAGTCTGGCTGGAATCAAGCCCGAGTCTCCCACACTAGTCATTCAACGTCGTGTTCGTAGCCAGCAGCATTCGTTCAGCCGTTGTTTCCAAGCACCAAAGGCTCTGCAACATTGGCCATGGGAGAACTTGGACTACAGACGGGATGCGAACTAAAGAGTCGGGCTCGTCAAGGATCTAAGCAGGGTGAAGAGGGGTAGATCGTCGGTAGTTGAGCCGCTGCTGGTACACAGGTATTGAATAAGGGGGATTTCATTCCAGCTACTGTTGGGCTTTCGTTGGGATATGTGACAGGTTTCGCGCTCGTTAGAGACGGCATCTCAGAGGATGGAAAGGGTGGGCCGAGAACGGATTGAGGGGAGCAGCAGGAGTAAGGCAGAGTCTAAATAGAGTTTTTACTTAGACACACTGGAACAATTGCAAACTAAACGTGGTCTCCGATTGCACAAGAAGTGACCCACTTCCCTTTCCTTGAATGGGTGAACGGGTAAGATGATTGAGTGGACGAGGCGGATTGGTAGCCCTTCTCGAAGCTGTCCTCGAAACATTGAGTATGAAACATCACAGCGTACATCCCGGAGGGGTGTCTCCTTGTATACAGGGATACCGTTGCGGGGAACTGGGCCGGGCGCAACTTTGCAATGCCTCATACCAGAACCTGGTGCCATCCTTTAAAACACGGGACTCTGCGGCCCTGCGCATCGCATCTTGTTAGTGTGTCTACACGTGTGGGTGAGAGGATGGATGTCACCGCGCACGGTTCGCTTTGATAGCCGCTTTTCCTGATTGCCCCAATGATGAGATATGGCAGGACTGGCAATTGTCCCGTGAAACATGACAACCAGCTGCAAGTTCCTTCCATTTACCGATAGACGGCAGGATGGCGCCCTGGAACTTTAAAAGCCTCGTCTAGGTCTGGATGTAGACGACGCACAACGAACAGCCGAGAGCTACTTAGTGCTAGCTCTGTGTATTTGCAAGCAAGGGTAAGGGAGCCATTATGCGGCAATGCGGCGTAACTGGCCTGTCCATCGTTCATAGATGCTTGAAGTTGGATAATCACAGACAACTGCAGGACCAATGAGCTTGCGGGCGCAGAGAACATGGCGCACACTCTGTCGCTCTCACACACACCACCCTTCTCGACCTTCCGTCCCATCACACAAGACCGCGAAGTCCATGCAACACTTTGACAGAGATCCGGAGTACTGTGTACCCAGCAGTGTGAGGGGAGCTTTGTCCGCTCCCGAGCCCCTTCGCTTTCTTTTCCGGGGCGGGGGTGAAGGGCAGCCAACCTGTAGCATCCGAAGCAAAGACCAGTTATCCTTGATGTGTCAAGCTCTGTGGGCGAACTCATCCTGCTGCGAACAGGTCCCCTGGCAAGGGAAGGGGTTGATAATGTCGTTTTCTCCCACCCACATGGACCCGGGACGCATCTCACCATCCAACCGACAACATTCAACGAACCCCGACGGCGAAGACGGGATTTGCTATATCTCAGACCCGTGTCATAAGTTGCATGCCTGCCCGGTGTGGTAACTTGGCGACCCTTGCCCCGTCGATACCGAATGCAACATTGACCCGCGGAACTATCACGATTCAAGTTGCATGGCGTTGTGAGCACTAGGTGCGATAACGGTTTATCGTTTCAAATTTCGACATGAGGATTTCAACGTCGTCAGCGGCCTCTTTTGGCTTGCTATGCATCACAATCGCTCTCTCAGCAGCTGGCGTCGTGGGAGCGGACCAGCAAGACTTCCACTTTGGACAGGATGTGCAGCTATATGCGAGACAGCAACTGCCTGATCTCAGCAATATTTCGACATGTGGAGTAAGTGACTCAGAAGGATTTGAAGCGTCCTACAATTTACTTTGACTAACACTCAGCCTAGCTGAACTGCCTTGTTCAGGGTATCCAAGGGGTCGGGTGCGATCTCACCAACACGACATGTTCCTGCGCAAGCACTGGGCTTGGACAAATTGTCGCTCCTTGTTTGTTGGCAAATTGTACCATGCAAGATTCTCTAGGTGGGTCTCCTCAAATTGTTATGTCGTATTGGGTGCATCGGAGGAAAACGGGAGTGCTAACTATCATGTCAGATATTGCGAAGCTTCAGGCTACACAGTGCAGCCTACCGCATGAGTCTCAGACATCCAAAGTTCTTGCCATTCTTATCACGGTATACATACTCGCGGCCGTTGCTGTTGGACTGCGGTTGGTTGCAAAGAGCCTTGCGAAAACATGGAATCTAGATGATGTCTTGATAATATCCGCCTTGGTGAGTTTGGAAAGCCCTTTCCGATATGTTTCCAGCATTCATGAGTTAACACAGGTTACAGATTATTGCCATTGCTCCCGTGTCGTTCATCATTGTTAGTATGTTTCCTGGTTTCGAAATCGCTGCTATGTGAGCACAACTAACATATCAAAGTGGCAACAAAAGGGTTTGGGACGCATCTGTACGATCTTAAACCTGGCGGTCTGTTCCAAATATTACGACTCCGTCAGTAAACCTTTGATCGGTTGGTTGTCATTTATGGGGCACAGCTGACCATGGTTCGTCTTAGTATACGCTGCCGAGATTGTATACGTCTTTGTACTACTATTCGCAAAGCTTTCTCTAGTAGTCTTCTACTTGAGAATCTTCACGGTACCGAAATTTCGCATTGCCGCATACTCATTAATCGGATTCCTCGTTATTGGACAAGTTGTCATCGGGTTTCTGACAATCTTCTCCTGCCACCCTATCGAGCTGTTCTGGAACAGGGACATTCACACGGGCGGCTGCCTCGACGTCAACCAACTTGCATATGCCAACTCAGCACTAGCTATCATCCAAGACCTGATCATTCTCGCATTGCCCATAGCAATGCTTCCTGGTCTGCAAATGAACCGTAACAAGAAAATATCGGTAGCCATGGTCTTCCTGCTCGGCTCAGTTGGGTTCATCTCCACAATCATTCGGCTCCAGGTTCTCGCGGTTTTTGGCAACTCTATCGACCCAACTTGGGATTACGCTCCTGTGGTGTGGTGGACGACGGTCGAGCTCGGCGTGGTTATTGTGTGTGCTTGCGCGCCCATGATCCGCAACCTTGTCGAGAGAGTGTTTCCGGGATTTGCGATCTTCACCAAGTGGACATCACCAAAGTCCTCAAAAGAGGCCAGCTTCCCCTCGAGCGGTAGCGAGAACTCACATAAGGCGGGGCGATATCAAAAGTTTGGGCGAGCCAACAGCCCACCTCAGTTCAGCGACAACTACGTCCGCGATTACCTCACGAGTCCGAGAGGACCACCGGTACCACCCAAAGACCAGCAAACGGTACCTTCCCGTTATCGAGACATGTACGCATATAGAGGTGCAAATCCCAAAGTACTGGAGCCCCCAGTGCAGCCATACGATCTCTCTTGGAGGTCTATGAATCCTTATGGCATTCCAAAAGACAACCTTGAAGACGGGGTTGGGAAAACGAATTACAATTTGGATATCGAAATGCTCGAAAGAAAAGGGAGCAAAGGGAGAGGCGTAGTGGTGGAACAGAGGGAGTTTTGCTCTCACTGCGGGCAGCAAGACTGCGGACACATGTATTGATAGCAATGTCATTTTTCGACTATACGATTTAAAATATTCAAAAACTTCCGCAACGTCGTTACCTTAACCCGCTAAAAAGTGATCCTGTCGTTCGTCGTTGTCGTGACTCGTCTGATCGGAAACATTCCGAGTGGGCCCACGATCCATCCGATCGGGACGGGGCCGGCAATTGTGTCCGGAGCAGGCCGGCATTGGAAGGGTATGATTCGCGATACTGAAATGATAACAAACCGGAAAAGTACAATTTGCCCCAGTTATCGTTCTTTCCCGTTATCTCTGCATCTCTGCAATGATACCAGGTGAAGAACAAATAACTCAGTATGCAAAGGTGCGAAGGAATGCGGGGGCAGCGCACCTCGGAAATGACGCTCGCGCATGCATGCAGCCACATTTCCTCGCCCTTTCTTGTCTTTTTGCATTGTTTCCCGATTGCCTCACTTGAAGCTTCGACCGTGCTGCAGAGAAGCGCAATTCCATTAATCCAGAACCTCCGATCCCATCGAACTTGAAGCACAACTCACCACACCTGCTTTGACAACGACAAACGAACCAATGTATGAGCACCGGCACTGACCCTGGGTTTTTGCCACTCCCGTTGTCGCATGTCCCGCTAACCCCAAAAGCGCCTCCTCCGACCCTTCATCTGAACGAATTTGGACAGAAGCCCGTGTCGCAGCTTCGCCTCACAGGTACCGTGAAACATGCGCGCACTCTCATTCCCTTTGAAGCTGCTCCTAGCGCAGCTCGGCCTCGTCCTCCTCCTGGTCGCCCCGACGGTTGGGTGCGGCGAGGGGAGCCAACGGCGGCACAATGAATCGGAGCTGGGATGCAGCGCCTCGACTTCGCAGGAGCTAATGCCCGTTCCGCCGCTGACGACGGAAGATGATGGGATCAACTTTACCACGCGAGCTCACTGGATGCGCCAGGCGAACCTGGCTCTCCCTAGCCCCTGCCCGTTCGCGGCGTTTGGCGCCGTTGTCGTTAACCACACGAATGGGGAGATTGGGGAGTTAATCTGCACTGGTGCGAACAACAACAGTGGCTCAGGCAACCCTACTTTCCACGGTACAGTTCAGCCCCTGGCATGGCCTGCTTAAACGTTTTCCCGCCGTGCTGAACTTGAAGCAGGAGAGATGAGGGCCATCTACAACTGCTCCGCGATGTTCGTGGACCCTCAAGGTCCATACAAGATGACGCCGGCAGAGGCGCTTGCTGCCTTCGCCGACTTGACACTCTATACCAACGCCGAGAGCTGCCCTATGTGCGCGTCAGCGATCCGCTGGGCTGGTTTCAAGGAATACGTTTACGGCACGACCATCGACACCCTCGTTGAGAAGGGATGGGGCCAGATTCACATCAGCTCCAGACACGTCTTTGAGCAGTCCTCCGATTTGCCCCGTCAAACAAGGTTGCTTGGTCCAGTGTTGACAAACGAGACGGACGTGTTTTTCGATTGGCAGTTTGAGCCAGATGCACCTTGCCCTCAGGGCTGCTCTCGGGATCAGGGTCAAGATGTATGTAGTCCTGCATGAGGGGTCAGGGTGATTGCTTGGCTCTTAGGGTCGTGCAGTAATGAAACCCTCCAACTGAGGCAAAATCACGGATGTTGTGGGGGTGATTTCGTCCATGATGCAGCTTATCGAACTTCTATAGACTCAATAGCTCATCTGCCGTCAGCGCTTACCTTCCAGCTGCTTGAAGGAGAATTGAGTTTCTTGGTTATAGATCTTCTGGCAGTCGTGCGTCGAACTTATGCATTGTTAGTAGCGATCTAGAAGGAGGAGGAAAGGAGATGTGTTGGTTGGGGGTATTCTAGACACAAAGACATACGCGGCCACAGAAACGTGTTGGGCAGACCAGCCAACACTACGTAGTATTGAACTTGGACACGTGGAAAGTCTATTTGACGAGGATACTAACTTACCTTGGCCGAATCTAACACACCTGTGGCGGTCAACGGGAGAAGTGGGGGACTTCTTGCCTTTCTGTTTGAGACTTGTCGTAGAGTCACCACTTAGGGTAGAAAAGACATAAGGAAAACGGCTTAGATTTCTATGTACAGGATTGCCTTGTCCAAAACGAATAAATACGTATCCTGCGTGGTGGATCCGCATAAAGGGACCGGACTAATAGTTAATCCAGGCCTGGCGCAAATCTCACAAGGCTACGCAATACGCGTAAGGGCATCACAACACACCCCCCTAGGCGGATCAACAGATTCTAACTATTATACGTCTAATAATAGCTATATATAAAAGAATTACCTTAAAAGAATAAATAAAGATATAAATACTTGCTTTTAAAGTAATAGATATAAAAGAAATAATTATATAACGCTATATCTAGTTATTAATAGCAAAAAAACTACTTTTTTTCTTTTTATTACCTTTAAATAATTTAATTAGATTAATAGCTTTTAATTAGTTAATTAATTATTAAGTTAAATGCTTATCTTCTTTAATAATATTACTTTCTTTTAGCTTAATAAAAAAGTCTTCTTTTTTCTCTTTTTTTTATTTATAATAATAATAACTATATATCTAAAATATCCTTGTTTTTACTATATATATATATATTTACTTATATTATAAGCTTTTTATATAATTCTAACGTTTAAGAATAGATGCCTTTAAAATCTAATAAGAAGGCTACTATATATACTTATATTGCTATAGTATATATAGCTTAACTTAAGAGGCGTAACAAAACGTATAAAGGTAATAAGGAAAGCAGTAGCTTCCTTAATCCCCTTGGTAACTAGCCTATAGTCTCTTCTCCTTTTATACGTTTATTCTTTATCTAGGTCCTTTATATCTTAAGTGGTATTAACGTATAAGAGTAGATTTCTCTTGCTAAAGGCTATAGTAATAGAGAGGTTAATATTAAAGAGGATAGCTTATAGCCTCCTCTTTTAGCTAACCTCTTTATAAGTGCTATAGGTAAAAATAAGGATAATTTAAAGTTGCTTTTCTCTCTTAGTACCTAGGCCTACTTTAATATAGCCTTAAAAGCCTAGGCTATAGCCTAAAATAACTATATATTATATTTCTTTATATTTAATTTAAACTTTATATTAACTTAATTAAATAGTAATAAATATAATAAGGTTTATAGGGAGAAAAAGGGAGTTAGATAAGGAGAAAGAGAAGGAAAAGAAGGAGAAGGCAGAGTATATTAAGACCTTAGAGCCTACCCTCTAAAGAGACTTTAAGTACTTATAGTACATTTAGAGTGCACTATATAGTAACTCTTTAGGTTAATATATACTAATAAGTAATAGCTAAACCCTTAAGTATTAACGCTATACGCTTAATAAGACCCTTTATATTATAATTATTAAGGGTTTTAAGCTTTACTATTTAACCTAAGAGTTCCTAGTTATAAAGCATAGTAATATAGCTTTAAGTATATATTTTTATATATAATATTTATTTATTTAGTTTTAATTATTCTTATAGGTCTTTAGCTAAATAATTAGCGTATTATAAAGCTATATTATATTTAAATAAACCTTTTTTTAAAAGGATATTTAGTATAGTATATAGAAGTATAGTAAAATAATATTAGTATTACTTAATAGAAATATGCTAATTAGTTTAGTTTTATTTAATAGTTTTGCTTTTAGTATAGCTATTACTATTATAAATAAGAGTTAAGTAAATACTATTTAAGCTATAATTAATAGTCTTATTAGTTAGTTAATATTTATATTAATTATACTTATATATTAGCTCTTTATAAACTAGTATATAGTACTTTTAAGGGGTTAGTAGTACTAAAAAAACTTCTTTCTTAGGCTTTTACTAGGAGTAAAGGCTTATAGGCTATAAATAATAATTTTAAATAGCTTATAGGTATTCTTTTTCTACTAATACTTCTTTTTTAGTATATATAATCTTTATTTATATATTTTATAAGTTAAAGAGTACTTTAAAGTACTTAAATTTTACTTTAATAAAGTTCTTAGTAAAACTATTTATTAATATATTATTTATTAATATATATATAACATTAAATAAACGTTTACTATATTCTTATTAGAGCTATATATTCTAAATATTAATATACTATAAATAAGTTAAAATTTAGTTACTTTTACTTATAATAAAATAAATAATTTAATTATTATTATAATTAATTTTTTATATATTACTAAGCTTAAGTTATATATCTTAAAAAAAATACTTAAAAGTAATAGTTTTTTTTATAATATACTTAAGGCTAAGAAGCTTAGCTTTAGTTATTAATGTTATAATAGTATTTTACTAAGTAGCCTTTTACTAAATTAGACCTTTAAAAAGTAAAATAATATATCCTTAGGATAATCTTTATATCTTATTATTATCTATAAATAAAGCATTACTTATAATTAGTAATACTTATATACCCCTTAAAATACTAAAGTATATTACTAAATACTAAGTATAATATAAGTATTTAATAACTTAATTTACTGCTTATTAGTAGATATATAAAAGGTTTATTAAGAATTATAAAAGTAAAGCGTATATAAATATAATATTAGGTTAGATTATTATTATAGTATAAAGGATTAATTTAATCTTCTTCTAGAAACGCTTTACGTTAACTAAGGTTACTTAAAGGTTATTCTTTTTAAGCGTAACTGTTAATAATAAGGTAATTAGTGCCTTTAAGTTAATAAGGTTAAATCTTTTAGTAATTTACTTAATATATTAGTTATAAGCTAAATAGATCTTTTGCTCTAGCTAGTTATATAGGATTTATATACCTAGATACTATTTAGCTAGGCCTTAGTCTTTTATTTTATATATTATTTAGATTCCTTTTATAATTTTCTTTATGTCTTTTGTGTAAGACTTATAATAAAATATAAGGATATTATTAATATAAAAAAGAAAAAGTATTTTCTTATCTAGGGTCTAAAAGAAACATAAGTCTTTGCTTATAACCTTTATCCTAAGATAACACAAAGTGTTTAAGAGTTTTTTATACTAAAGAAGAGGTATATTTCTAAGACTATAGAGCGTATATTATAATTTAACGATTTTATCTAGTATCTTAAAGCTGTCTAGGAGGAAGTATATAATAAGTAATTCATTTAGTCTTCTCTTAGCGTTTAGAAACGCATTAACTACGTTAAATTAGCGTATTTTAAGGTTAAATTTAGCTATAATAACTATTATAACACAAAAGGTCTATACTATAAGTATTGTTGTATATGTCTATTTAAAAGGATGCTTTTTTTATATATTACCCCTTATACAAATTTACGCTTTATAATAGTTAAGGAGACTATCCTAGTCTATTTTATATAAGAAGACCTACTTTAAGAGAATTAGTTTTTAAGTGACTTTACTTTAGTTTATTACCTTCTAGGTACTTATCTACTTAAGCTTCTGAATCTTAGTTATTACCGTTTATAGGAAAAGGTCTTAATATAGCTAAAAAAGGTTTAAAAGCTCTTTCTAGTTCTTTAGTAAAGGTAATAGCTCTTTTATCTTTTTTTTATTATATAGTTTTAGTATTTTTTAGGTATACTTTACTTAAATAATTAATATATAAATGTAACTATAGATTATTTAATATCTAGTAGCTTTTTTATTTAGTACTTTTTATTTTTCTAGTAAAAAAGTATTAAAGAATATATTCTAGTTTTATTTTAAATATAGGAATATAGAGAGGTAGCTAGTGTTCTTTGTCTTATTAGATTAGCTTATTGTTGCTAGTTCTGGTAACAAGCCTTGTTAGCGTTAGCTTTGCTAGGTTAAGGTATTATAGTTTAGGCTGTCTTGATTACTAGTACTTAATCCTTGCTTTTAGTTAGTATAGCTTATAAATACTAATCTTAAATGTATTATTAGTTCTTTTTTTGCTTTACTTTTCTTATTTAAGGGCAAATTAGTATAAATAATAATCTTATCTTTAATTACTTTGGTTAAGTAATTAACTTCCCTGGATTTTAATATGTCTTTGTTTACTATAGCTTGGTCCTTAATGGTTATTATTGTTTTAATCTCTTGATTTAAAACGTCTCTTGGTTTAGGTAAGGGTTTAGGGGTTAATAGCTACCTTCCCCGCTAAATATAGTTTACTTTATAGTTATTTTGTTTCTTTTTATCTAGAAATACTGTTCTTAGTATAAAAGTAAGTAATAAAGGCTATTATAAAGGGTATTCTTTTTATAGAATTAAAGTAACATTAACCTTTTTTATAATACCTAGAACATAGAATTCTAAGTTATAAGTTATATTTAAGTGTTATATATTGTTTATAATTACTTATACTTTCTTAGCTAGGATTATTACTTTTATGTTATTTTTCTTATAGAATTAGCTCTTATTAAATATTATATTCTATATAATTATAACCTACTAAAATAAAAGAATCTATATTTAGTATAAGTTATAAGTATTCTAAATATAGCCTACTAAGTATCTAATATAGCCCCTTGGTTTCACCTTAAAGCATTATCTTTCTATGTCTCTCTTTTAGTCCCTCTAAACAAGGTATACTTAGTAGCTATATATATAAAGCTATCCCTATTATAGAT